AACAAGCAGTGTAGAAAGTGTAAGCAAGGTCACCCCACAAACCTCGTGGGCCACATATAAGCTGTGAGTTTATGTTTTTTTCCCTCTCAAAACTAGATGTAATTAATTTATCTTTAAATAAAAAAAAGCAATTATCTGATTAGACTATTAATAATAATTTTAAAAACGTATATAGTATGATGCTTTGACTGTTGAGGGCTCTGGATGTGGAGCCAGGTAAAAGTAGCTGGAGCTGGAGCGGCCGAGTGGAGCGGCTCTTGAGCTGGAGCCAGCAAAGCCGGGTGGGGCACTGCCAACTCGAGTACCCAACAAGCACACGTTTTGGAACCACTGCAATAGATACAAAAAAATCCGACAATATGTTTCCTTCATATATCTGTTCATCAACATACAACATACAATATAGTATTTGTTTACTCTTCCCGTCAACCACAAGGCTTTCTGGGAATGCATATTGTCGGTAGCATTGGCTTAATGCAAGCAAATTCTGGACTGCTTTTGACATACATAATCAGTCAGGCTGACTTGAACCAATTGTGGGCTTCCATAAAGGTATCGTCTATTATTAAAGGGTTATAATAAGGCAGCAGTTTCAACTGCATGGTGGGAATTTTCACTCTTTACTGTATTCCTTACGTTTCATACTTTAGTATTTTTATTGCTAGGTGGTCAGGTAGCCTGCAGCAAAATGGAGTACTTACAAGAGAAACAAAACATGTCATTTTGTATGCAAAGTTTTAAAGTATTTTCCCTGTGAAATGGGAATTCCAAAGATTGTTTTTCCCAACGCCAACAGAATCTCGGAGCATTTTGCGCCAGCACTATCATTTTCAGAACCCGGGGTGCGTTGATATGGAACAGGGCAGCAGGGGTTGGCAACCAAATTAACAAAAAGAGACATTTTTTTAGGATTCGGTAAAAACAAAAGCATACTCTATTTGAAGAGCCGCAATGTACGTGGTGAAAACGAGACGGTGGTGGTCCTTAATAAATAAGGCACAAAGCAATCCTTAAATAGTTGCATTGTGGCTCCGGAGAAGTGGGTTGCAGACACCTGAACTAGGGTCACCATCCTTTCCAAAGACTAAACCCGGACAATTTCTTAGACGAGGTCTATCAACAACCGTGCGGTAAACAGTAATCAAGTTCAGCACAGTGCCGGTACCAGATCTCGACAAAAATCGCTTCCTGCCACCCAAACACAGACGCCGATTTCTCTCCAGGTGAAACCCGCACAAGTGGCGACCCTAACATGAAATCACCTGTTGCCTCTCAAGCAGCGATCATATCTGTTGAAGCAGCTGTGAAGCATATTCTACAAAGGTGATGAAAAATAAGAATACGTTTGACCCTTTCTGGCAATAAAACAGGTGTTAAGATGTTCAAGCACAAAATATATATATCCTTTGCAAGGCATGACGTCTGAATTAACCACACATACTTGTGGCAAAACATGAAAACAAACATGCTCTGATAATATATGCATTGTCTTTGAAACTGATTGGCCTACACCACAGACAGCCATCTTTATGGCCTTTGTCTCACCCACCAGTGTTAGACGAGAGAACACCAAAAATTATGAAAAATAGGTTTATTTTTCATAATTTCATAGCCACAAAGGTGGCTTGGCACATTTCACAATAAACTTATGTAAGAATCTCAAAATGCATCCTTATTGTAAGCAGTCGATTATGAACACCCCAGGGAATGTTGCATTCTGTGTAACAAAACAGCAACACAGTACAATGTTTATCATGTTTTTAAAAAATGTCTTATTGACAGTTTACAAACAAGTTACATCATGTCTAAATGCTGTTTCCTCAAGTAAGGCATGTAACAAAACAAGTGTTTGCCTTCTCAAGGGATAAATGGTGACAAAATAGGCAGTCTCAGTTAACAAAACGAACGTAGCGTTTGTATGTTCCATGCAGCGAAATTTGATTAATTCAAGAAGGAACATATCACTTTAATTAGATTTACAGAAAATCTACTTGAATCTCTCAGATTCTCCATTCCCACTGTTCACAACAAATACTTTTTCTACTCCAACAAGGTCGGGGGGGGATGTATGAATTAATTGTTTATATGTAAACCATATTCTTAGGTGTTTTCGGTAAAGTCACGTAGGTAAAACATCAAAATTAATAAAATAATAAAATAAAATAAAGATCACGACGTTTCGGAGGCAACACAAGACTTGTGTTGCCTCCGAAACGTCGTGATCTTTATTTGTGTTGCCTCCGAAACGTCGTGATCTTTATTTTATTTTATTTAATTATTTTATTAATTTTGATGTTTTACCTACGTGACTTTACCGAAAACACCTAAGAATATGATTCCTTGCAGTCACGAAAGCTTCAAGTCTAGAATTAATGCCCTCTACGGGGAGGAATTCCACCTATCTGTTAGAGTTTTTAACAGACAACGACACAAGAAGTCACAGCTTCTCGAGACGCTGGCCTTCCTCAAGAGATGCCGAGATAACAAGACGGAGACTTGTGTTGCCTCCGAAACGTCGTGATCTTTATTTTATTTTATTAATTTTGATGTTTTACCTACGTGACTTTACCGAAAACACCTAAGAATATGATTCCTTGCAGTCACGAAAGCTTCAAGTCTAGAATTATATGTAAACCGTCTAGCGAGTATCATTCATATTGTATATAAAACATTTTCGTGGGATTCCATTCGTGCGTCTATTTCATCTTGGGGAGCGCTTCATATTCACCACACTTTGTCTATGAGAGGGAAGCTGTTGTCACCCTGCTTTTTGAACCAAGAGGCAGCGGGGCTGCTCGAGCACACGGCTCCGTGGCACCGACAGCCATTGCCTGTCGGTGCTGTTCACGTTCAGCGTGGTAACGCGTTCACGTTCAGTGTGGCAAGGTGTTCACGTGCTTCTCTCATCAAGCCGCGTGTCTTGCCGCCGTCACGTTTCATGCTTCCATGGGAGGAGTATAAACATGTCTTTCCATTGGAATATATGTAAAAAAAAATAGTATCACGCGCTGATTCTTGCAATCATCAACATGGCGTGCAAGAGATTTAGATCGTGCACGTAAATCCAATGAGTTGAATAGCAAAAGTTGAAAAAGAGATGTGTGATATTCCTATGGTGAGGCAAATTTGTAATTGGTGGAGAGAGGAAAAGCATTCCGTCACAGTCATTGGTGATCATGAATACCCATGAGTGAGCTCTCACCGCAACGAGAACCAGGGTTGTGGAATTGCTGGGTGCTGCTCTCTTGTTCTGTTACAGTCAAAATGTAACTTTTATTTTATATATTTAGTAATAAACTATTCGCCCGCTTAACATATCGCCCTCGGGGAGTGCATAATTTCAGTAACAATACAGGCAACTCTGCACCTGTTTCAACAAACATTGTCTCATCAGCAGTCAGGCTTGCTTCAACCAACGACGGTGAACAAAATATGTTTTTGGCAAGGCCTAGTTCTCAGCAAAACTATACAGTACTTTGCACAAATAATACTTCACGTCGTTTTAAAGAAAATTAGTAACAAAATAAAAAAGCAGACAATAAACCTCCTTTACAGATCTCTTCCTGCACGTAAAACTTTAATTATTTTATACACATCCCATCAGCCACACGTGTGGTATGTCTATTATCTTTTATTTTCATATTACTTTAAATTACAGAAGAGGTTTGTTGTGGCTCCATCGGTGTTTTTGTGGAGTTCGAAGCAGCTTAGGGTGAGATAACCAAATCCAGTGATGAACAATTAAAGAATATATTCTTCCACAGGATGAATGTCAATCAACTGTTTGCCTTTTTGTGAAACATCGCTCAATCCATAATGTTGAATACAAAAAAAATCATTCAGAAAATAATGTTGATTAATTATTGAACAATTCATGAGAATGCAAAATATACAACAACCCTGCAGTCGCAGTGATTTCCAGGCGCTGCTCAGAAAAGCAGCAGAGATTCCACAGGGAAACGGCACCTGCTGCCTCCCGGCATGCATCCTGCCCCAGTGGAGTGGCCCCATTCCACACAGTTCACATGGATTCCTGAACAAGCGAAATCCACCCCTGGGGTTTTAACTCGGGCACACAGCTGTTTGTGCACAGACTTGAAACTATCGGTGTATATCGTGCATGCTGATTCCAGCACCAAAGACAGAGATCCCCCGTAGAGTCTTAAGAGACTATCGGAGCAAGTGCAGTGTGCGAGGAGATATGAAGGCCGGCACGGCACACGAAGGGGGTGGGTGGCCAGCACCGCGTTTGTCCGCCTTTGTCTCCCCAGTGACGATGTTAACACACTGTATCTCACACACAAACATGTGCATTCACACGTTTGTGTACACGTATATATAATTTAGAAATGTATACACGGTCACACTTTAATGGTATATTATATGCATAATACACATTACTTATTATGTTTGTTATTAAGACCCTTATACACATATGTGTTAGAATCATGATTATTGTGTATAATATATACAACATAATTGCATGATATATTGTGTGCATCATATACAAATGCTAATAAACACATGATTAATTGTTAATTATTATTAATAAGGTATTTGTGTAAACTGCGTACAACATGCCATATATATCATCCAATTATGTTGTATGTGTTATACACGAATGCCTTATTGAAAGACGAATGCACGTAAACGTTCTGTGCGTGCAACTTAGGAGTTGCTTTGTGAGAATTGTTCAACTCATCCGTGAATTCAAACAATAATAATCGGTGCATTTATGCTTTGTACGTACGACAATTCAATTTGTTTGGCTGTGCTGGGTGGTGGGAGGGGGTGTTAATGACACAAAAATGGCCACATCATTTACGTGGCCTAACCCAAAAATAAATTACGAATCGTATCAATGGCAGCAAAAACCAACGTGTTAAAGAGTTTTTTTGTGTGTGTCTTGCTTACTTTTTTTTTGTACCCACTTTTGCGTGGAAAAAAAGGCATTCATGTTTAGATGTTTGTCTCGGTGTTTTGTCATCTCGGTCGAGCAGGTCACATTTGTGGAGTGGTCAAATAGAAACGCGGCTTGGATCGTCCGGCCTTGGAAGCAGGTCTTCAAGCACTGTCAGCATGGAGGGAGGAACCATCACCACCACCCCAAACAGGGTGAGCAGTGTGCATCTATTAACCTCTTCCCATAATTATTATTGTCTGTATATAATCGCACTTGATATATATATATTTGGTTACTCGTTTGTTCTCTTTGCTAAATCACATTCTAATTATGCAGTAAGCTTCATGTCCTAAGATGAAGAGATGTACATCGTGAACTCTTGCATGCAGCTAGCGTACACCACCTTGTGTGAAGCTGCCGCCAGGGAACGACTCCTGAAATCACACGAGTAGGGCTCTGTATTCATACTCTGGATAGGGCTCTGTATTCATACTCTGGGCAAACATTGTATATTCCCTGAGAAGAGTGTTCCATTTAGATTAAATAAAAAAACTTGAATTCCCAAGTCCAGAATACTTCTCAACGAAGTGACACCCAGAATTGCACGTGATGGTTTGCCCGTGCAGTCAATGGAAACTGGGCTGCAACCGTTAACTCACTCATCACACTTGAGAACTTGGATTAATCGCAAATGGCTGCTGTCCAGTCTCAAACCCAACATCTCAATGGTGCCAGCCGAGTGCTCTGATGTATCCCTGAGTCTCCCAACTACATGATTACCTTGTGTTCGCGTTTATGCTATGTGTGTTGAACTTCTTTCGCACCGTACATAGCCAACCGTGCTCAACGGAGGGATTTATGCTCACCATGCTATCACTCGGTGCTTTATGATCCTTTTCTTGATTAAGTAGATCTTTCTTATAAAACTACCTTATTTAGTAGAGTGTATCATATATGACTATTACTTTTTGCTATCCACATGCTATTTTTTTTTGAAAATAAAAAAATAGTGGGTAGTAATATAATGTTTGCATTTTGTCTTGAAAACTAATGGTATTTAAATAATTGCCAATGTTTTATTATAAGTCAAAGTAGGTAAAACATGGTGTACTTGATCATCATCATCAGACTTGATCTATCCACTGCTGGATGAAGTCTTCTCCACTCCGACATCATGCCTCCCGATCTTGCTATGCCACATTGCATCTTGCTGGTGCACATGAACTGATGTAATCACTCGATCTCAGCAGCGGTCATCCTCTAGGACATGTATTGTCCTTTGGTTGCCATTCCACAGGCAGTCACATGCATCGACCATCATCCCTTCTCGTGACAAGTCCTGCCCACGTCAACATGACGCCTCTAACTTGCAGTTGTTGTCTAATCCACGCGTTCACTTGCCATGCAAAATATATCCATTATTGCGCCCCCCCCAAAATCCAAAAGTGTATTTTTATACTTTTTGCATTGTGTACAGTCTGGAAGCTACCCACATACCCACATGCTAAATTTCAAGTTTGTTGCATGTTATGAAGTATGCTAAACATTTTTAAAAGACACACGTATTCCCAAATTTCCCTTATATATATGTATTATTGTAAATTACGGCGGGAGACCACTTGACAGGTAGCACACTTTTATTAACACTTATCTTGCCACAATAACACGTGTGGTCACTACAGCTCACGCTACACGTTCCACCCAACACGTGTGGTTACTACGGCTCACGCTACACGTTCCACCCGGCTACACACACACAGGCATTCCAGCCCCGTGGCATCCGGGGGAACCTACAGACCCACCCCAGCTTGGGTATGGGTCACGACCACTGGGTCCCGCGGCCCGGCCCTCACACGGACGTCCGGCCCCGTGTCCCAAGGTCCCGCCTCTGAGCCACACAGGGTCCCGGTCCTTACAAGGACAGCGGGATTAGGGGTCTCAGGGCCCTACCTCTTCCTCCTCCGTCTTCTGTCTTCACTGGTCACGAACTCCTCGAGCGCCCGCGCGCACCGCCTTATATAGCCCTCCGCTCCCGAGGAGACGGAGCCTATGCGGACCGCGATGTGAGCACCCACCCTAGTCGACCAATCACGACGCGCTGCCATACGATCCGTTTTCCCAGCGCGTGTTACCACCACACAACCAATCACCCCGCGCTGCCACACGATCACTCCCTGTCAGCGCGCGTCACCAACACACAGCCAATCACCACCACATAACCCATGACCCCGCGTTGCCCTATGATCCCTCACCGTCAGCGCGCGTCACCGACACACATCCAATCACCACGCGCTGCCACACGATCCCTACTGCCAGTGCGTATCACCACTACATATATATAGATTACCTGAAATACCAAGTGCCGTCTGCTTCACAGTAGGCTATATTCATCGGGCCAATCATTGCCCCCTACTGGTAGACTAATGCCCATTTGCAGGCCAGATGCTGAGTTACTAAAACTACACTTTTATTTGACCAGGTAAGGCCCACTGAGCTATATAGCTCTTTTTCAGAAGTGACCTGGCCACAAAAAATAGCTTAAAGAATTGGCATATGTGGGTATTTATAGCAGCCAAATACTCTAAACGTATGTTTCTAAATGTAGAGGGAAAAACCGGATGATCCGAAGAGAAATCCACACTACCACGGAGAGAGAGACACGCAAACTCCAGATATACAGGTGTCAGGGTCGGGATCGAACGTTCGACCTCATTTATATCAGGCGAGGTAGTTAACATCTTGCCACCATGGCACATTTACTTTGTGCCCGCAGGGACAGCTGCCACTGTGGGTGCCTTTTCAAATGTTTAGGATGTCATGTAAAGCACTCTAAGATGCCCCAATTTATAGGGTGCTGAATCAAAAGCAAGTTCCTATCATGATCTGTTCAAACATTATGCATAGCTTTATGAGAGTGTATCACCTTTCCTGAATCCTCTTCTAACATGTACTTGGTTACTTTGTGAAATCCCACGGAGCAAACGGTATTTTCAGTATGGTTCTCTAAGCTATAAAAATATAACAAGAACAATAACAATAATGGACAAGTACTGCTATTCCCACAACTGATTTGATCATCGGGGCGCCCTTGCTCCACTCCACTGACGTTTTTCGAACTGGATCTTTTTCCCTCTTCCAATTTTTTTCCTTCGACTGCTGCCTGCTGAAGCACTGATTTTCGAGATGATACTGCTGCTGCTCATGACAGAGCCAAACCATTTCATTTCGCTATATTTGTTGGTGTTGAGAGTCATTCGTTCGCCGTACAATTTCAGTTGATCACTTTTGCAGATTCTACATCCATCAGGACCTTATGGGAAAATTTTATTTCAATTGCTTTTAGATGTTTCTCTGTCTCGGCTGTGAGATTCTGAGTTTCATAGCCGTGCATGACAATGGAAACACCTGGAGCCAGTCGAGGATGCAGCAAATGTATCGCGTTGTGTTTTAACATAATTATCCACTCGCTAAATGAATGTTAACCACCTTAATTTTAAAGATGGAAATGGCAAAATGTATATTTTTTTCCTTGTGTTACACAGTTTATATGTACATTAACATTAAATTTCCTGTCATCCGACTCAGACGCCAACGTCCTCGAAGAAGTTGCAAAACTTTGGGAAGCGCTCGCACGCTATCCAGAGGAACCCGAACGCTCCCGTGATGATTCGCGGGTGGCTGCACAAGCAGGTTCAGACACCCACCAGTTATACCTGACATTGCGAAACAACTGCAATCACAGGTACACATGACGTACGTACACGAGAGGAGCAAATCTAACTGAAAAGCTAAACGTGTGCGTTGTTTGTGTTTCGTAGGACAGCACTGGCATGAGGCTGTGGAAGCGACGATGGTTTGTTCTGGCTGATTTCTGTTTGTTCTATTACAAAGGTGAGGCACGTAGAGAGTGGATGTACGTTGCTTCAGTAGGAAGTTACCGGAATGACATGGCCTGCATGCACGAGTGTTGGCAACGGATGATGATGATGATGATGATAAAATGATGAAAATTTATTTAATGATTGAACTTGAATAACATTACTTTATCACCACACAATACAAGTTGAGCAAAACTAATTCCAGGATGGTTGTTCCTGCAATGATGTCACACCTGTTTAAGAAGCTGGATCCGGTTATTCTAACTTCGTGGATTTTATTTTACTTCCTGGATATTGTCCCGATGATTCTCGATGTAGAATGAAGGGTAACTTCATATCTCGTTGCTAAATTTAGTTGTCAGAATTATTCTTCACCTCAACAGTGAGTTGAAACAATTATATACATAATTGACACATTTTTCGATTTAAAGCTTTCGTGACTGCAGGGATTCATCTTCTTGGTTCTTTCGGTAAAGTCACGTAGAAGGGAAGTAATAAAATAATAATAAAAAAATAAAATAAAATAATTCTCACGACGTTTCGGCTACAACGCAAGCAGCCGTCTTCAGGTGAAGAATGAGACACTGCCAAGCTAGGAGCTTATATATAAGCTGGGTAGGAGGTGGAAGAGGAGCACCTTAACAAAATAATGTGCATATCAAGAGGAATTTAGCATATTCATGGGAAATGCGTAGGAGGTGGGCGGGGGGGTTTCAAAGTTATATTATGCCCATGCATTATGCAGGATCAGCAGCACCAAGGGAGGGTGCAGGGAGTAGCATTAACAAAGGAAAAGAATGTTAATAGTATGTAGCTGCAGTTACTAAACAACCACGTTTAAACTAAAGTTTATACTTTAGTTTTCTACTAAAGTTTATACTTTAGTTTTCTACCTTTGGTAATTACCGTATTTTCCCGCATATAACCCGCGGGGTATACCACTTTTTACAAACAAAACAAGACCCTGCGGGGTATACAGTGAGGGAAAAACGAATTTGATCCCCTGCTGATTTTATACGTTTGCCCACTGACAAAGAAATGATCAGTCTATAATTTTAATGGTAGGTTTATTTGAACAGTGAGAGACAGAATAACAAAAAAATTCCAGAAAAACGCATGTCAAAAATGTGACATGTCATAACTCGTTACATTTTTTCATGATAGGACTATCCACTATGCAACATTTACCTTTGACTAAAGCACTGCTGAATAAATCACTCACACTAAAATTGCACGTGTTATCACGTTTTATATGCTTCGAATCGTTTGTACAATGAAACGACAGACAATGTTTGAAGTGGACGCACTTTGTTTACCATAATACTTTCAGTGGCTGTAGGGGGGTGCGAAAGTTTCAGCTGAGGCTATGGATTGCACGACGGGAAGTGCCTTAACAAGCGTCTACCAGACGCGGAATCATAATTGCCGAGTCCCTTAGGCCGCTGATGTTGGCTGAGCCTTATACAGTGGCGACCATGAGCTTTGTTTCAAACTTCCAATGGCTTTGTTGCCAGGAGGCAATGGCGTTACCGTAGTGCCGCTATTATCTGCGCAGTGTGCAATCTACCAGTGCTAAAACTGTACAGGGGTAACTACCGGTCCAGTAGCTGTAATATGATGAGGTCGAATGCTGGTAAGCCTAACAGTACGCTTACTTACTTATTTACTGTTTTAAGTAAAGTCACGTAGGTTAAAAATTAAATTAAAAGTTAATAATAGAAACTTTACCGAAAGAACCTAAGAGCATGAATCCTTGCAGTCACGAAAGCTTCAAATCTAGAATTACTGTTTTAATTTTACTCGTTTCTGGTTAGTTTGTTTTATTTGTGCACGTTATGATTTAATATTAACAATTGATAGTGGAATGTATTACCAATGTAAACTTTGTATTAATATCATGGAATTAAGCTACGGTAATGACGTTAAATATATGAATGCATGTGGGATATATGGAGGTGTGGGCTATCTGAAATTTGTTTTACACAAAACGCTATTTTTGCGGGGTATATGCGTATGCGGGTTATATGCAGAAGAATACGGTAGAGAGCCAGTCAAATATGAATGATAGAGCCGGTACCAAAAGTCTAATCCCACGTGAACCTATGTTGACACACTGCACGCGCCCCTCATGTTAGGCTGAGTCAACCTCGTGGTGCAAGGTAGAGATTAGCACAGTGGTGAATGGCAAAGAATCAAGACTGGTTCCCTGGGATTGTTACGTAGTGTGCTAACCAGCACGCAGCACCGACACCAATACCCGCCATTCGCCATGAAATTACGGTGACGTCACCACAGCGCCTGTGCCACGTGCACTTTGAGGCCACGTGCACTTTGAGGCTACGTGAAGTGTCGAAGGCTCGTTGACAGGTCATGAGACAGACCCAGGTGCCATGGGTCGACTGACTGAGATGACCAAGATGACTGGCTGATGCACCACCTGTGCCCCCTACTGTGCCAACTTGCTGTGCTTTAGCCACCTGGCGCTCCGCTCGCTGTTGTGAGCGTCGCTCCTCCGCCCTCTGTTGCTGTTGGAGGGCGACTGCCTCCAACTGCCCAGTAGCGGCCTTCACGAGCCTTCTCCACAGAGGCCGATCTTGACACCGCTGGTACCAGTCATCGGCAAGTCCACTCAGCTCCACATCCTCCTGTACCACGTCTCCATCTCTTCTCTAGCCCATGCTGCGCCCGTTTAGCCCCCTCGATCCAGCCGAACAAAAGCTGTTTGGGCATGTGGTGATTGGGCATGCGGGCTACATGGCCCAGCCAATGCAGCCTTGCTTACCGCAGCCTTCGCTCGGAGGTTCAGAGAGCCTTGAGACGCTGCAAGGATGGGTGGTGGCCACGGGTTGCTGAGGAGATGGAGTCTGCCTCAATGGCCCGCAATCACAAATCCCTATTTAACTCCATCAAAAAAGTAACCCGCAGCGCCACACCTATTACCATCATTAGGTGTCGGGGGAGGGGGAATCTCTCAGCCTGGAAAACATCATGGGACAAAGTGGGGATGACCCTGCTGAGGCTGCGGTGCCTCAAATATTGGAAGAGGAGGTCACCCCTATGAGTGGCTGGCTGAGGTGCCGTCTGTTGAGGGAGTACTGAAGGCGATGCAGAGTCTGAGACCAGGAAAGGCACCGAGCAGAGATTATCTCCCAAGCGAAATGCTGAGGGAGGGTGGCGTTTGTGCGCAGACATGCCCTAAATGACATCATAACAACAGTCTGGGCCACTGGACGGGTACCGCAGGATTGGAAGGATGCCCTGGTGGCCCCCCTCTTTAAGAAGGGGGACCGCACAGACTGTAACAACTACAGGGGCATCTCACTTCTCAGTATGCCAGGAAAGGTCCTGGCAAGGATTATTCAACATCGCCTTGCTAGGCACGCTAAGGAGAGGCTTGCGGAGCCCCAATGTGGTTTCAGGAAAGGACGGTCCTGCACAGATGCCATATTTTCTGTCCGTCTGCTACAACAGAGGTGTAGGGAATTCCAACAAGACCTACATCTCTGCTTCATTGACCTGGTCAAAGCCTTTGATACCATTACTAGGCCTGGGCTCTGGGTTGTTCTTCGTGCTCTCGGAGTCCCTGACCCTCTGCTCACACTCATTAAGAACCTTCATGATGGTGAGCAGGCCCGGATAAAACTACGTGGCCGGGAGTCAGAGCCATTCCTTGTATACCTTGTGGTGTGACAGGGATGTCCTCTGGCTCCAACATTATTTAACATCTATTTCGACCACGTAGTTCGTGAAACCTTCAGTAGCTGTACCGGAGGAATTTCCAACTGGTACAGATACAATGGGAGGCTGATCAATGCCCAAGTGTGCTCAAGGGATGGTTCCCTATTGGTCAACCACGTTATGTATGCCGACGACCTGGTAATTGCAGCTCACTCAGAGGAGGAGTTGGAGGCGCTGTTGCTGAAACTGGAGTGTGCCACTAAGAGGAGGAGACTTAACATCAGCCCCACCAAAACGAAGCACCTGCCTGGGTATTTTGTACCATCGGGCACTCAAACCCCACGATTCCCAATCTGTGATGGGGCAGTTGTGGAGAGAGTGGAGAGTTTCCCATACCTGGGCAGTGTGCTCATGACTGGCTCCGGTTTAACAGCAGAGGTCTCACTCCGAATCAGTTGAGCGGTTTTATCTTTTCATCGGTTGCGTAATGCTGTGTGGAAGCTACCTGGTCTGTCACTCCGCACGAAGCTTCGGGTCTTCTCGGCCACAGTCATTCCCTCCCTTCTCTACACTTGCGAAACGAGGCATGGACACACACACAAGCACTGAATGTGATCCCTCACCAGTCAAGTTACATTTTTAGAATTATGTAATAGACCCCTCAAATGAAGACATATGCACCGGTGTACATATTCATCAGCAAACCATTAATGCTACTTCCTGACCTGCCCCTACTGGACATCTGTGAAAAATAACTTCATAGCTCATCGGAGTCCTCCAGTCTAAATAAAGACTCCGATTCTGAATGTGAAGATGACAATATGGGTTCAACTTTCATAAGTTTCTGAGTGAAGCTAAATCGATTGATATGAAGTCATAATAGAAACAGCATGGGAAAAATACGGCAAATATAATTAATAATACGTCCATTCATGGTACTTGTGAGTCTATACGTTTACATTGTGTGTATGTTTAATATTCTATTTTATGTTCTCATCATCACCATGCTGTGTGCATATTCCTTCTGTTTGACGTTGATTTGTTCGCCCGTGCCTCACCTTCCCTGGGTTGCCGTGAGAGCCTCCCCTTGTGTGAGTCGCCTGCTCCCATGTACTGGGCCACAGAGCACCACTGACAGGTACCTTCATTTTTTTAATTATTTTTTATTTTGTGTCACGTTAATGATGAACCTGGTCTCTGTCCAGAATGTCTTCTTTTTTCCATCTCTCCATAATTGTGTTATCATTGCATCTTTTTTTTTCCAAATATGAAAGTCATATACGTGCACAAGCTAAAGAGTTATGAAATGAGGGGATCCATGTCAATACTGACGCTTGTTGAAAAATGTATGTCGTATTGTTTTATTGGCAGGCTGCTTCCCCAATGGGTGTACTGTCATCCCAGGCAGAGCATACAGGGATGCGCACTTATTATTACAGTGCAGAAACACCGGAAGAAATGCAGCGATGGCTGGAGGCCATGAGTCTGGCATCACGACTGCAACTTGGTATCCCACAAAGGTAAAACCGTTCACCCAAGAAGTAACATTTTCGGCTCCTTAACTTTTGTGAACGATGTTATTTACATAACCCTTCTAAAAGTCCACCAAATTAACTAAATGTTTGTTTCAATTCTGGGTAGCTTTATTAGAGAGGTATTGTTGTTTTTGTTTACTTCTTCGAGGTAGTTTTCCAACGTGGAAGTGGTTACGGTTCTTTAACATGATGATGCCATGGGTATTTAACATCCAATTTTGTAGCACATGGTACAGTTTTGTAACATGTTCGTGGATATTACAATGCAACTTCAAAAAGACACCCCTTGTACACGTGAACTGACCGGGGCAGTGATTGTGCTCCCAGTATAAGTGCGCCACCTTCGCAAGTGCCAACTTAAATAAAACTATAAACTAATTTTTATTTACCAGGTAAGGCCCACTGAGCGATATACTCTTTTTCAAAAGCGACCTGGTTATCACAAATTATAGCTCAACGAAGTGGCTTATGTTGAAATTTTTAGCAGCAGCCAAATACTTGAAAACGCATGTTTCTAAATGTGGAGGGAAAATCGGAGGACCTGTAGAAAAATCCACGCGACCGCGGGGAGAACATGCAAATTCCAAATATATAGCAGGCGTCAGGGTTGGGATCGAACCCATGACTTCCTGTATACCAGGGGAGGTAGTTAACATCTTGCCACCGTGGCACCCGTGGCACCTTGCAGGGTAGCTCACAAAACCAGGTGGGGGCAGTAAAGCATCTCCAAGCTGGTGGTGCAGGTTCCAGGGTTTCCTGCTGGAGAGCGAGTAGTCCAGGTTTTTTCGTGGTTTCTCATCAATGCACCAAACTGCCTTCTTCAAGGGGATCCATGAGTCTCATTTTTGTATCCGGTGTCTTGGACATCTGTGAAAAATAGCTGCATAGCTCATCGGGTTCTTCCAGGATAAATAAAGATTCTGATTCTGGGTCGCATTGAAGTCTGCCGTTAGTCGCTGGCTTTTCTGGGGCCAGAAAGGCACATATTCTTTCCTGTAGCCCTACGTGGGTGACTGCTACTTTCAACAGTCGGACAAAATGGTGGTAGTCTTTTGGAGACGGTAGTATTATTTAGATGAGTGGTTCTTTTTTCAGTTTAATTTCATTTTAATTTATTAGGTATAACCTTGTGAGCCATGCGGCTCTTGACTCGGGTGCAACCGCAACAAACAAAACATGAACAAGAAACATCTTAGAGTGACTACACGCAACAGAAAAATCCAGGAAAAAACAGCAAAGTCTTCCAGAAAAAACACCGTATATCAACTGTGTGTGCAAATATCCCAGTGGGATGCAAGTCAAACAATAACAACCATAAGACAATTTAGATGAAAGTTATCAGGCTAACTCTGTACTACAACAAATAAACATTGCGAAACCAAAACGTTTTCAAAATCACCAAAATAAAGCTATAAAAACAATGTAACAGTGATCATAGGAACTGTGATTCAAATTTAACAATAAACAATATACATAACATGTACAACAAAACTTTGTAGCCATAGCTGGCGACATGAGTCACTCCATAACAGCAGGATTATCAGTATCAAAATTTTTTTATACACCTTTAAAGATCAGCACACTATAATCAAAACTCAAGATCATACTTTGCAGCGGTCATCCGGAATGATACATTTGATTTCAGGCCATTCTGAATATCAGTGGCAGCTAGGGGTGTACAACTCCTCGAGAGCAGTTTTGAGTGAAGATCTCACAGGTAGTGATCCAAGTTGCAGTTTATTGGCGATAGCATTCCAGATCCTGGGGGCATCAATAGAAAAGGCCCTTCCTCCAGTATTTGTACGGCAATAAGGAATGTGAAGCTGGTAAATGAGCTTAGGTCGCATTTGTTCCTCGAAACAGTGAGGAGATCCAGCAGGTAGTGTGCTGATTTTTTTGTAAGTACATCGTGCATAAATAAGATCTGATGCACAAGCCGTCGATCAGTAAGATAAGTTAAGTTTGACCCAATGTTGAGATCGCAGTGGTGGGTCCTATATGGGCAGTTCAATGCAAATCTTAAGGCCGAGTGATAAATTGAGTCAAGCTTCTTCAGTATAGTACTGGGGGCTGATTTATATACGATGTCACAGTAATCAAGTAGAGGCAGTATGGTAGCTTATATCAATTCCAAGCAGAACATAGGGAGGAAGCAGTGCTTGTGTCAATACAGAAAACCACATTTTTATTTTGTCTTTTTACCAATATAATCAATGTGATCTTGAAAATTCGGTTTTGAATCAAAGATACCTATAGATCTTGACTTGCTCTATTTGATGATTATTTAAGGAATGTAATTGGGGAAAATAACTTCCTGCTTTAGTCCTGGAGAGAAGCATAGCACCTTGGTTTTGGTGGTATTCGGGACTAGTTTAAGAGCAACTAGCTGATACTGTAGTTTGTTGAAATCACCTTGGAGCTTAGCAATCACGTCATCCGGAGAGCGGCCAGCAGTAATCAGTATCGTGTCATCTGCTGTAAATGTGGGATGCAAGTTAACCTTCACTGTAGCCTGCACCCCCTTTGTTTCTCAGAAAGGGCATCTCGCACCCCCAGGGAGTGCGTGCACCCCAGGTTAAGAACCACTGCTCTAGATTGTCGCCTTGAAAATGCTCTTGGAGATGAGCAATGAGGCCTTTCGGAAGTTCCCTCTTGGTTTTTGGGACTGAGATGACGAAATAATAATGAATACCTTTAGCAATAGAAATGTTTTACTTTGTGGTGTGCTGAAGTGTAAGTTCAATATGTTGAATGCCGTGTTCATCAATACCTAAACGTGGTGCAGGTGTTTAAACAAATGTGTCTTAGATTTTATTTCTAAGCTGTATATTTATTTAATTTGTATGGTTTTATTTATTTACAGCAGCAATTCCTCGAAGAAATCCCAAGAAAGGCCCCTGATGCTAATCAACCACACAGACAGCAAGCGTTTGAGGGATGCAAGTGAATTAAAAAGAGACTATGCATCACCGTGTTCGGCAAATGAATTTAATCAGATAAATGACACCACAAAGGGTGAACTGTTAATGTCAAAGTTGGAGTTTAAAATGCAACACATGGATACGAGACTGTACGAAGGATATGAAAAGAGGGATGTACCCCGAACTCATGACAAGGTGTTAAGGAATGTACAAATTCCCACCGTGGGAAACTTTGAGAGAAGTGACTTGATTTTGCCACGGGAAGATGTTGGGAAGAGACTTTCATCGGTATGGAAGAGAGAAGATCTTCAGAGAGAACACGATGCGGAGCGGTATTTCAGAGACATTTCTAAACCAAGGGACTTTTGGGAACTGGAAGAACATCACGCCGATGGTCAAAATGAAGAGGATAAAAAATTGTATTTCAATGCAAGGAATGATGGTCGGAAAATGACATTTAGTGAAGGATGCCAACAGCCTGGATTTCAAATGGAAAGCACAACACAAAACAGCGCCGAGGGGCGTGAACATCGACCGAGGTTGCAGAGCCATTTCTCAGAGGTGACGCAGGGAGATCAGAAGCAGAAAGCCACGCTTCCTCAGCGTAGCACGAGTGTGGGCAGTGCCGTCGGCAATAGAAGTCCCGCAAGTGACAGACAGAGCACCTTCTACAAGCATGGAGCAGCCTCACATAGGCAAAGCCAAGCGTCATTGTGCAGTGGAAATTATACGCATCACCCGAGCCTAGAAATGTTAGATGGTGGAATGGAAAACCATGCAGTTTTAAGTCATAGAAAAACGTCATGTCACAACCAGACAGAAGATAGTCTGAAGCACATGCATTACCCAACACACCTGGAAAAAGAAACCTCTAAATATAGGCAGAGCTCATTGCCACAAATCAGTGACACAGGCGCATACAAGCAATGTGTCCTTGAAAGTGCAATACCTTTATATGAGGATAGGAATGTACCTTTATACAGCGACGGAGATATTTATGAACAAAACCAAAATATAAGTCAAATGAACAATGATAGTTGTACAGCAGTAGTTTCTAAGTCAGACATTAAACCGATGGGATCAGATTATTCTGATCGCTATAATAGACAAAGTACCGCAAATTATGATGAATTACAAAAGACTCACGCATTGTATTCTGATGGAAATGCAGCCACAACTAGGCAAAGCCGGGCAGTACACGATGCTAAAATGTGCCATTATCAGCAAGATGCAGTCATACCAAACGATAGTTTAGGCACGCAACATGTAAACCAAGTCGCTGCTAATACCAATACTGCATATTTCCACAAGCCAGCTGCAATTAATAGCGCTAATACTCATCAACAGAGTAAGAAGACATTCTGCCACAGTAAATCGGAGCTTACAAAGAGTCAAGAAGTGTATTGTGAAAGTGTGAGGCCATATTTTCAAAGTCAAAATAATCTGGTTGATGATGAAGACATGTATCTTCAAAGCATAACTTCTTTAATTCACGGGGCACAAACAAGCTTAAGCAAGACAATCTTAGATGAAGAAGTTGTCACACATTTGCAAAACCAGAAGACAATGGATGAAAATACTTACAAGCAGTATGAAGTCATTCCACATGAAGTTACCCAGAGACAGAACCAAACATTTTTTCATTCAGAAGAATTCCATCCGAGCTATACAGGCCTGATTGAAGAAGCATATACTTACAGACCAAGCCAAACAGCTCTGGATTGTGGAGCCAATAGACAGAGCCACGTAGGCGTAGACAATAGGCCAGCACTACTGACCAAGAGCCGAATTTCACTGGACGGGGGTATTGGGGCTTATAGCAGCCACAGCCATGCCATTCGTTCAGAGGCTGAGCGGCAGGCACAGAAGAGGAATTCTATGGTGCATTTGGAATACTGGGTGAGGACACAGAAAGAGAAAGTTGAAGGTGACAGAATGAGGTGATTATACACACTTTTTTACGTTTTGTACAACCTTAAAATGTGAATGTCTGCTTGTTCAATTACAGTACAATTAAAGTTAAAACTAGGAGAAACATGGACAAAAAGCACCCATATGCATTAAGTCATGCTCTCCAACATGCATTTATCCTCATAAGTGTTTGCTCATTATCAATGATAACATAAGCGCTCATGCCAGGTTTGCAAGAATCATTATGCCCTTAGACCACAATGAGGCAATGGGGTTCGGATGGTGGCTCTACTGGCGAGGGCACACCCCGGCTGCAATGGCTGGGATGGGAAGGCATGTTTTTACGAGTCTCTAACGTTTGGGCAACTGTTCAAATTGGCTGGTTTTCTATAGAGCAATGCCCATATAGCAACAACACTTGATAGTAAAATTCGTCGATATTGAGTTCCTGGACCCTTGCCCCCCCCCCCTCCCTTAACAAACAGTCAACAGAGCTAGTGCATAAACTCACGCAACCTGATTTGAAGTGTTCAATTATTGTACTTAAACCCTTACCGTTCTGAGATGTCTGCAAGTTACAGGGTGTGGGTCTTGTTCACCGCTGAATGTCGGAATGTGCAAGTGGTTCGCGTACATTCTATTTAGAGACGTATAACGCCACTGTTTTTACAGACGTACTCACTGCAGAGAACTGTAGCGACATGTCCGCAATCTATGATAGCTGGCACCAAACTGTGCCACGCTCCCTCCTGCATGGCCTTGTGGGAACCTAGGTACTGATAAAGTTACTTTATTTACGTTTTTTTTCCCAGTTTAAAATGCAATATACTACTCATGCGGAATAATAATACCTCTCATGGTCCAGTTAGCAGAGTAGTATCCATGACACTGTTTGTTGTGAGAGGACAAATGTTACTTTGTTTTCCTATCTAGTTGCAATGCTTTCTAATTGACAAAGTTGGCTAGGTAAACATTGAAGTGAATTAAACATACATTTTGAGAATATTTCAGCATAATAGCTGGAATGTCTACTGGAATCCATGATTATAGCTGATTATAGCTGGTTATGGTTATTCATGCCAAGTGGATAAGCTAAGTCTGGATGCACCCAATCTTCCCAAGGGTGTGCTTATGTTTATGCAAGCCTTGGGGAGTAATTTTGACTGAAAACAACAATCGCATCTCAAATATTTCTTATTCTTGATAAACCATGGACAATGGAAGAAATGTGTTCCACCATTCCTTTTATTTGTTAATATGGATGAGTTACGGATTGGATAACATAGATCACGGATGAAAGCAGTTTCACTGCATACTCATTCGAGGCAGACTCCCAAAGTATTGGCTAAATAATCCCACATATTTATTTATAGTATATTTAACTATCTGAGTTTGATCCCTGGCCTCAACCATAAACCAGTGGTGAGTGACATCTGAACCGGTTCTGGGTCCCTGTTCACAACCCGCACTCACCAGCATCGTGAATGATGATCAAACAACCCCCATAACCAAGGCGAAGGCCTCATCAGTGGATTCACAAATATTAAGAAACGTTATTATTAATTCGGCGGTCACCCTCACACCAGGCTCGTAGTCTTGAATCTTTATCTCCATGAACTTCTTTCACACTGTACGAAGCCAACCATACTTATCGGAGGTGCAATTTTAGATAGATAAATTTACAGCTAGTGGGAGTCTCACCCCTCCAGGGGAAGGAGGGGTTTGGGGTGGGGGTGGCGATGTTGGGGCGCTTAGCACGTGTCCTCCAGCCACCTGGCAGCAAGTCTGAGAAAGTTAGCATTAGTGCCCACGACCAGCTTGGGCTAGCTTGGGGACAGGCTCAATTGTTCCCAAGGTTGCCGAGGTGCTTGTCCAAGTGCTGAGCGTGGAATCTGACAGCTCAGCTTCTGCATCAGGTGTGGCGGCGCCCTTAACGTGGCGCACCAAGTCTGGGAGGGGGGGGGCTGGGGGGGTGGCTCAAAATTGACCGACACCCATGACTCATGCTCTCAATGCCTGGGAAAACGCACGGCGTGACATTGCTTGAGAATCGTCTTGTACGGCTGCCACTGGAGCAAGTGGATTGCGGCGCCTCAACATCTAGCACAATTGGGAAATGGCTCAGAATTCCTTGGATGCTTTGGATGAAGCAATGTCCGGCCCTTCAGGCATGTGCTCTACCCCGGAGGGTCAGGGAGGCGCACGATCCAAGTCGCCTATGAGATTGGTTGCCCCTAAGGGGAAAACCAGAACAGTGGCGGTGATCCGGAAGTGCGGTGTGGCCTGCCATGGGCTGGCCCTGAGTTCTGCTGGCATGCGGACAACGCTGCAGATGCCAAGTGATAAGCAGCCACGTCGTTTGGCTTCATCTGGGTTGCGACATCTGAAGGATGACTCTGCGGCTTCTAAGGAATCCCACGGTGCCCCCCAATTGTCTCTCTTGTTGGGCAAGGCCCTCCTGCAGCTCATATATGATATCTATCCTTCTCTGTGGACTTTATTGCCTTATCCTCCCATGTCATTTCTTAGGAGGCAACAGTGGGCTATGACTGCATTGGGTGGAGCCCGGCATAGACCTGGCTTTTGATTTTGGGGGGCCCGTGAGTCGTGAGGGTCCCTGAGGTGGACCCCTTCCCACTTATGCCTCCTACTTCGAGTCTCCCTTTGATGAAGAAATGGGAGGTGACAATGCAGGTTTTACTCTTAAAAGGATGCAGTTTATGAGGCGCAAGCTTTTGAGGAGAATTGAGTCCAAACCAGTGCCAGACACTGATCTTGGCATGGGGTTTTACTCCACATTTGTGAGGGTTTGTGAGGCAAACGGTGGGGTTCCGGGTTATCCAGAATGTATGGCGTTTCAACTACTTTCTCTTGTACCACTGTTTCAAGATGGAATCTTTGGTAGCAATGGCAATAGCTGTGCAGCTCCTGGATTGGTTGGCATCCATAGATGTCCACAATGCCTATCTGCACATCTCCATTGTTGCTGCCCATCATCGTTTCCTGCACTTTTGTGTGCTTTCACACCATTGGCACTTGCGTGTGCTTGCCTGGCTGCCCAGATGAGTATGGCTCACGCCTTCGATATCCTGGAGCAGTCGTCATATCCTCCAAGCCAACAAGGAGTGTGTGTGGGTGGTTCTCGTCACTTCTGCCTGAGCGAGGATGTCATGGTTCTCTAATCTTCTGGCCCTGATGGAGGCAGTCCCCTTGCCACTTCTGGAATGTACCAGATCTCCTCTCCCAGCGAGGTGTTTTTGGTGTCAGGGGCTTCAATGTTTCAGCCTTATGGCATGGTCATTGAGAGGCTCAAGTTCCATCACCTAGGTCTGGATCAAGATGTGCAGGAGCTGCTGATTAGCTCCCGAAGACCCTTTACCTAGAGAGTCTAAGATTTCCATTGGTAGCAGTTGTGTGTGTGGTGTCACCTTGTGGACCCTTTGTCCTGCGGTTTGGCCTGAGTGGCCAAGTTCCTGGTGGTCGCCGCTCAGCGAGTTTGTTTCCTCCGATCGCTGAAGGTCAGGTCCCCACGGAATCTGCACTTGGAATCTTCACTTGGTCCTAAACTCTTATGCGCTGGCCATTTTGAGGCTTTGGCGACCTGCCCTTGAGAGTTTTATAACCTTGAAAGCATTGTTTGTGGCTGATAATACCCCCTGGTGACCAGGGGGTATGATCAGGTACCCACCCCCCCATCTAGATTCCTAGGCAGATCGTGGGTTAATCACATTGTAGTTTATAATTTTCACCTCCCCAGATTGTGTCAGTCATTGCGATTCTTTCACCAGTCTTCACCACATTGGGCTGTGTGGCTCGGTAAAGGTGGATACCCCAAGGGCCATTTCAAACACCACTGGATGAGACCGTAACCCATATCACCGGATTCATGAAGGTTGTTTTATGAAATGCCACTATTGATCAGTGTACTCGTGCATACCAACACACGCCAATCCAGGGGATTCCTCACCTACAGATCCTAAACACAAGTGGTCATTACTCTGCAAAAAATTAGGCTCAACGATAGCCTAAATGGCTTCATAAATTGTGCACCTTGCACTTTTTAATTTTTTCCAATTAAGTCTGTTGTGAGTAATAAAGCCCTGTTTAAAACACAGTTGATAGCTTATATATACATGTTTCATAATATGAGCTTATGTAAAAATATCTCATTTATAAAAAGTCCACTTGCAGAAGAGTGCCACAATACAGTATGACATGGGAATACTTTACAGTGAATATTAATCGTATTGAACCACTTGTTCTTTTTGCAGTATTGCTTCCGTGCAAACCATGCCTCCGGCCATGCCTAGTTACCACGTGGGGCTGAGTGGGCAATACACGGACAGCTCAGTCCCAGCACCTCAAGCCATGCCTCGGCGTCCAGACAGCATGGCCGTGTCTTCAAGACAACAGCAGCAGCAGCAACAGAACCTCCAGTACCGCCAAGATGTGTCTTTGGAACTCCACAAATGGAAGCAAAGGCAGCAGATGAAGGTGTGTTCATGACCCACAAAGCCACATGATTGCAAATTTCATAAACTCAACACGTTCAGACAAATTCATCTTTGGATGTGCTTTGCAATGACTAATACTGTACATGCAGACCTCACGTAGCGTTCGAGATGCGTTCCCTGATAAGTGAGCGTGAATCAAATCAGCGATAAAAAAGGGGTCGTTATAGCATTGTATATATGGGGATGCATTCCCGAAAGCATGATGAGTGATATATGAGGGCTTAATTGGGGTATCGGGAAGTGCTAATTATACAGATGTTAATATAATTTTACGAATAAATGTTTTATTATAATAACATCCATAAGTATTACCAGCATCTTTATGTATCTTGGAGGAATCTGATGAGCTATAAAGCTCTTTTCTACAGATGTCCAGTAGCGGCACGGGGTTAGAACGTTACAACAAACACTAGAAAAACACTATAGGAGTGCGCAAAGTATAGGAAAGGTAAGTACATTGCTAAAAAATGTATACGTAAAATAGAAAAATAGATAAAGTGGATAAGTTCTAATTGCAAAAGTACACAAATTCCCAAGCTTGAGCAAGGCAGCAAAACAACAGCAAGAACAGTCCCAGACCACACCAAGACAACACCACACAGTCCCTCAATAAAATTGCACATTAAAATGTAACTTGATACATGGGCCAGGATGACAGTTACAAGTCACATTCGCAAATACAGTTGTATCCAGCAGGAATCTTCTGGTTCAGGATATTTTTTTAGGGATTATTAACGATGTTAACTAAGGAAACTGTTACTCACCAGTGCATCTCACCGCCTCTACCCGACTCCTCATCGCTTGCATTTGAACATCCAAAGTGATCCCTTTCCTTGTCACAACATTTACAATTTTGGGTTCACTCTCCAATACACCCGTGTGCTGAGCATGTTTTGTTTCTGTGACAAACCTTACTAATTGGCTCTGTTGAGTAGTGGCGGGTTTCGCGACATTTTATATTTATACAATCTAAACCCAAAAAAACCCTCTTATGGACTCCAAATGCGTGTTTCTAAATGTGGAGGGAAAAACTGGAGAAAAATCTATGCAATGATCTCCATAGTGTAGAAGTGGGTTCCCAGAAACAGACTTTGTAGCAGTGGGCATTTGTGATTACACTGTACTGCATAATCCTAACGAGGAGGAAACTGGTCTACAGTTGTCTCTCTGTCTCACTGCTGCCTATCGATGGCATTTGCACAAGTTGAATTTACGGTGACCTTCGACAAGTTGACCGTAATACAGCCACTCAGAAACTCTTGTATATTATGGTTTTTGTATAATACGCAAGAAGGCCGATGGATTTTTGTACACTTCTCTGGGTGTTGTTTGAAACGTGCTTCAACAAACATGTTTATGGCATTCCACACTTGCTTAGTGTATATCTTAATCTCAGCAAGACACATACAAATAACGGAGTTTGTAAATAAATGGCTTAAGCACAAAAATTTACTCACTTTCGTTTGCGTATGTGAAGTTTTAGCTGGCAGGATGTGGATATCTTTGATATCATAGGCATTGTGATTGAGATGATACATCTTGTTTTGAGCAGAGCAATACGTCGCTGCAGCGATTACACACTGCGCCGTGTGTGCTGGGGAGCATGGTGGAGGAAGAGGAGATGCGCTGGATGACGCCACCGCCTCCTGCAGTGTTGCCTCATCCGTACGGCTCCCCACCACCCCATGCCTCCTACACGCCGCCCACAGTCTCCCCAGGGCCCGGAACAACGTCTGGAGTAGCCAGCCCCCTTCGAAGGCCAAATACTCCTGTGCGGAGGATTGATACTGGCTCTGTCAACTCACTGCAAGAAGCTGACACCATCCATCTTCAATCCAGCACACCTTATGTTACTGTTACCAACCAGGTGAGTAGTGTTGAATTTTACGTTCGTATCACGAGTAGTTTTTCATTAATTGGAAAAAATTACAAAGTTAAAGGTGCTCAATTATGAAGCCATTTAGGCTATCGTTGAGCCTAATTTTTGCAGTGTAATGACCACTTGTGTTAAGGATCTGTAGGTGAGGAATCCCCTGGATTGGTGTGTGTTGGTATGCATGAGTACACTGATTAATAGTGGCATTTCAGAAAACAACCTTCATGAATCCGGTGATATGGGTTACGGTCTCATCCAGTGGTGTTTGAAATGGCCCTTGGGGTATCCACCTTTACTGAGCCGCACAGCCCAATGTGGTGAAGACTGGTGTAAGAATCGCCATGACTGACACAATGTGGGGAGGTAAAAATTATAAACTACAGTGTGATTAAAATAACCAACGCAGTACTGTTTAAATTAATGAAGGCAGTTTAGTAAACATTTCGTTATTGAAGATAGCTATGCAGTTGAAAATAATTATTTCACCCTTTTGGCTGCCATGTCAACACAAGTTACCCTATCCAGCAAATCAAATCGCTGTTTTTTGTGCGTCTCAATAATTTTCAACAAAATTGCAGTGTACAGACCTATATGCAACTTTGCATCCCCAGCATTTAAGTCAATCCTAGAACAAGAGCACCAATGTTCGTGATAATTTCATAGGAGAGCTGCACCCTTTAACATCAGCTTCGAGTGCCACAGGATATATAAGGGTTATGGTCTGTCTGTAAGTGGCTGTGGTATCTCACCTTGTCACCTGGAAGGCCCTATGCCCGTGTCATTCATAAACACGAATTTAAATGTTTGGGTCCCTTCTTGCAGCACATGTGTGGCACTGTTGTGAGTGGTCATCCAGGGATACCTCACAATAGGTGAAATTAGTCATCGTGTCATTTTGGCCAAACTGAGGAAATCTCTTCTGATCTCTGAAGTGGGTTGTTTGACACTGCCGGAGTTGGTTGTGCCGTCTGTAATACAACACTTTTGATTTGAGCATGTCAAACCATGCAAACACCATCTTCTGTGCGAAACCCACCTGCAGTCTTTTGAGGTACCTAGTAGATGGTAGCACAGCAAATAGGTTGATGATTTGTTTGGATTTTTTACTGTAAGCTCTGTATCCATGGGTTTTCTCTGACTGGTTTTGTTCCCTGTACTATGTATACTGCTTTTTATGTACAATACTCTTCTGAAAAATACAATACCGTCCTAAAATATTTTTCACTAATGGGCTTTTTCCTTTATAAAGAATTACTGTTATAAAGGCATGTGTAAATGAAAAATGCATCATCGCATTTGGGTTGGTTTGAAGTTTATTTTAGGTTTCACCAAATGAGAACCGAAGAGACCAGGATAGGGCTGATTCGCAAGAGTAAGCTGAGTCACCTATATAACTAAGTAATTAAAACATAAACAAATCATAATAATCAAGCAAATAGAAATCAGAGAGAAAAAAAACCAAATAGATATCACATCAAACACAGCAGTAAAAACAACAGAATTATATAATTAATTAAAAATACTGCATGAGCATGAATAAATATTACATTAAATACATTCCTTGTAACAATTGTTGGTTAAGACAAATTTCTTTAAAAAAAAGTAAATTGTCCGTAGTACAATTAAGTTGTAAGACACGGAATTGAATTAGCACTCGTGTTTTGCTTGATGTGTTTGCTTGTATTTGATGTTGTTGTTGTTTCATCAGGTGTCTGTGTCCCACTCTCAGCACAGACCCCCACTCCCCCAGATTCACCGTTCCACCGCTGCCAAACCTCCCCTGTCTGTCCGCACGGCCCTGGTTGGTGCCCGGCCCACATCGCGCTTACAGGTGTTCACTGCATGGCTTGTTCATTAATCATTTTGTTTTATTATTATAATATTGTTTTGAGCTTTTCTCTACATCTGAGATAGGTGCATCGTTTGCCTGCGAATACATTATTTTAGTGTCACACGTTTTCATTCCATGTGCTGTCCAGTGGTCGAAATGTAAGTGTAGAAGCACCGGTATGAAACCCATGAAACCTATTTGTCCTGCAGCAGCTCATGTACAAAGCCATTTCCCTCAGTGGACATATCACGGCGCAGGAATAGGAACCATTCTAAATAGTGCTAGTATAATTTGTGTGTTTGGTGTTGTGAGAAGTGCCGGTATGGCATACCATCCTATACTGTCCCAGTTTAACACGTAAGGTGTCCCGTATACCGTCCCTTTTCAACCACTGGTACGATGTTAATTATTTAATTCAGATGTTTTGTTATGGGAATGCGTGTTTAAGCAATATGTTGCACAGACTTGGTGTTCCACGGCCATATATCCACCTCACCCCCCTCTCGGCTCAAAATTGATCTTTTGCACAAACTTCCCTGAACAGAAATGGGCAGTGGTGAATTAACTTGAACAAAAATTATCCTTGTCACGTTGTGCATGCTGATTTAAGAGCTTCACATGCTCTCAAACCGCACACATGCGTATGACTGAAGCTCACCCGACACTTCTATTTTTGGTCAGCTTGGGCAGTGGCAGTAAGTGACTGTAAAGAATGGAAATACTATATTGTGATATACAATCTATTGTTTTTGCACTATTAACAAGAGGCCAGGGGTCAGTGTGTAACTCGGTTGATGAGGACAAAATTTACATCCACTGAGTCTGTTAGCTAAGAAAAGTCCGTTCGCCTCTTTCCAGTGTAGATTAAAAAAACGTGTGCATTTCACAGCTCATGACACGGCCTTTGCCATGGCACACATTGGTGAACCCAACGCTGCCAAAGATCTTGCCAGAATACCCTGAGCGATTGAGATCTCTGCTGTATCTGACAGCCTGCTTAGACTAAGCAGTCACATTTTCCAAGTTAAAAATTCTTCGTGTCTTTATAACCACGTCTTCTTGACACCGAATAGATCTCGTCAAACCAAATATCACAAACATGTACCAAAATAGTAAATGCATACAAAATAGCAGTAAATACACAATGCGGCACACACTTGACACTTTTCAAAAACTCCATAATAACTGCCAAATTTGCCAGATTGCAAATCCCCCAAACACTCCAAAACAACGATGAAACATTTGTCTGGCATTGGTTAATAACCCATACACACTGTCCACACTTTACTTGCTGCTCTCACGAATTCATACAATCCCCACAAACCCTACAAATATCCAAATGATCTCAATAATCCTATAGTGTATATCCGTGTGTGCTTAATGTATTATACCAGTGGCCCTTAATACAGACTCCCAACATTGCAACCTTTCTTCACTCATCCATTTGACACGCTCTCACACCCCCCGTTTACCTCATAAATACTCCAGTGAGTCCACTTAGTACACTTGATGCTGCAAGAATCCCTTGGAAACTCTTTGCTAAACACTTGCCAGCTTCACAATGTACTCTCGAAATACTAAACTCTCAATTTTACATTTAGAATTTCCGCACACCCTCCTACATTCCCCCCAAAATTTTCTACACGTGCTTAGACGTTGTTATTAACTCAACTCAACCACATCTAAACTAATTTTATTGTATGTCCCAATTTGAACAAAACGTATCCACATGTTTCAAGCTACATGTACAGATTTGGTATCAATCGAAGCCCGTCATTGGTGGATGTGGAAGGAAAATGTTTTTCCACGACCTTTTCCAGCGAAATTCTGGGTGCTTATGTGCATTAGAAAACCAAATATTGTGCACCCTCGCAAAAATAGGCTGCCTAGAACATACATCACAGCTGGCCCAGGAAGTCGTAAGAGAGTGTCCTTGGGCTTGTTGAGAGGTGCTGGATGGCCGGTGGGCCTGCGTGAGAAGCTGTGGTCCGTGTGGCCATGCCTGTTACATTTATAATTTCCCCATATGAACGTATTGGCGGTATAATGATACAAAATCTAATTTTTTCCCGCTATAATTATTTATTTCCCCGCAATTCGCAACCCAGGTAAGAAAATATTGCGGGGTGGTGGTGCGTCAAAATCAGTTCTCGTGATCTAGAAGCAGTCGGAAAACAATGTTATCAGCAGCTAAACACGAAGCTTCACACTCTTTGGTTTTATAGGTAAAGTCACGTAGGAAAAAAAGTAAAATTAAATAAAAATAAATTAAATCACGACGTTTCGGAGGCAACACGAGCTTCCGTCTTCAGGTGGCACCGTGACAGCAAAATTATTGTATCAAGTGGAGAGAACTCTAAGAGACACGAGACTATATACAGGTTAAGGGGGGGGGGGAGCCAGGATGGGCCGGGGGGGAGGGTTAAGTTAAGCCTCCTTTTGTTATGCTGCAGGGGGTTAGGGGAAGGCACTGTGTGCAGGCGGTGGTAATTGGTTAAAAAAGGTGGGACAACTAAACAAGAGGCAGTATTTAAGCTGACAAACTGGTTGCCTTGTAGTATACTGCAGTAAATTATAAGGCTGCTAAAGTTTAACTTTGGTCAACTTGGTTAACAAATGGGGCTAATCAAGCTGGGAATAGAAAACTGGAAGAAATATGAATGGCTGTACAATTATAAGGCAGCTAAAGTTTGACTTGGTTGGTGACATCTTTCCAATGATTGCTCAATTTGAAACCATCCTCTCTGGTGAAGTTGTGTCTATGTTTGTATATCTGGATGGCTTCATGGACAAATCTCTGGTAGTATCCGGGAGGTTTGCAGAGTACTTTGGTATCGGAGAAAACAATATCATGGGAACCCGCTGTGTTGAAACAATGATCAGCTACGGCCGAAGAATTGTTTCTGCCGTGTTTCAAATCTGATTTGTGCTCACGAATTCGGTCGGAAATATGTCGTTTCGTCTCTCCAATATAGCAATTTGTAAACACCCGGGCACTGCAAGTCAGGAATGACATCCTCCACGGATGGGATCAGATCCCTGATTTTGTGCACTGTATTGAACCGGACCTGGATCTTGTGTTTGTTTAGAATTTTGAAAATCTTTTTGGTAACGCCTGATAAGTATGGCAACGTGATTATTTTGATCAGAGTTTCAGGATCCATCCTGGCTCCTCCCCCCCCTTAACCTGTATATAGTCTCGTGTCTCTTAGGGTTCTCTCCACTTGATACAGTAATTTTGCTGTGACGGTGCCACCTGAAGACGGAAGCTTCTGTTGCCTCCGAAACGTCGTGATTCAATTTATTTTATTTTATTTTTATTTTTTACCTATGTGACTTTACCGAAAAAAACAAAGAGTATGGACCCTTGCAGTCACGACAACTTCAAATCTAGAACGAAGCTTCACAGTCTATTACCATATAGCAGCTCCCAGCCTGATGACGATTGGCTGGCTCCGTGTACCAAAGGCAGATTTGACTCCTCGTGCCCTAGATTTGGAGGGTTCCTCGATTAATTTCTGGAATCATTTCTTGGCGGACGGGGGCATCAAAAGATTATGACTTCGTGTCACACGTTAGAATTGGAAAGCAAGCTGCTGAATCTAAGGCAACGTTTGATGGAGAGTCTGCAGCTCACTCAAGGAGCAACAGCGACATCGTCATAATGTTTTATGAGGACCCCGGTGTGTTATGCTGCACCGGTGGACCGCCAATACGTCCATTTATTCCAAGGCAGAAACACCCAGAGCTCCCCCACCCCCACCCCCTCTGATTGCAAGGAGAAAGCTGGAGCTTTGTCTACAGGTCACCTAACATAGCAATTACACACAGACAACAGGCACGTTCGCATTCAGAAACTGATAAAATTTAGATTAAATAAATAAATAATGATGTTAACACTTTTTGTGGCCAATGATTTGCTTGTCAAGTAAGTGATAACAGTATACAATTGAAACACGAATAATTTACAATGGTTTGTGTGCATCAATTATTTTATTATCAGTTATTCATTTATCAATGGTTGCCTCACATTGTGGCTAAGCAATAGCTTGGAGTTTTACTTCTAATTTTAAAATTGGAATAAAATGGACCTGACGATTATTCACGTGACTTCTACATTCCTACTAATACTCAGTGATCTAATTGCAAAGTTTTAGCTCAATTCGAGAGGGAAAAAAACATCTTCACAATTATGCTTATAAGTGTTATGAAATTCGACACCTGCACCTGAAAGAGCTTATGTGCATTGCAAAATGAAATGCGTTGATTTTCGCCAGATCACAACGTGTGCAAATGATGGTAAATGAGGAAAGACTGAAAGTGAGAGGATTGAGTGAACGAATGAGTGGGTTGAGTAACAATGAGATGATTGAGTAACAATGAGGGAGTAAGTAGTTGAGACATGAGTGACAGAATGAGGAAAGAGTGTGCAAAAGAGATAATTACTATGTTAGTGAATGATAGATGTCAGTCTCAAGTGAGGGATTAAATTAGTGGCATGCGTGCTTGACTGAGGTTAGATTAACGATCGTTTAGTGATGAATCAGCGCCACGGTGGTGAGGTGTTAACTCCCTCGCCTGGTATACAGGAGCTCGTGGGTTCGATCCCGACTCGTACGCCTGCTGTATATTTGGAGTTTGCGCATTCTCTGCATGGTCAAGTGAATTTTTCTCCGGGTCCTCCGGTTTTCCCCTCCACATTTAGAATCAACATCACACGTTTCGAGTATTTGGCTGCTATAGATTTCCACACGATAAGCCACTTCGTTGAGCTATCATTTGTGGCCAGGTTGCTTCTGAAAAATAGAAAGTTCAGTGGGCCTTACCTGGTAAAACACTAAATAGTACAACAAATTACTGGGGATTTGCTGAATATAATCACAAATAAGAATTACATTAATTGATTACGCCCACTACTAGTGCCTGGCGAGTGTCAAGTGAGTGGGGGTAGGGCGTGGGTGTCTGCTGAATTTTAGGAGAGTAGTTGTGTCTGATGAGTGTCAGCAGAGTAGTAACCGGTGAGTACTTTCCCTCGTGGTGTGGTGTTTGGTGTGTGTGGTGAGGGTCTAGTGGATGACTGGTGAGTGGTTGTCGTGGGAGCGATGAGATGTCTGTCTGGTGAGTGGTGTTTGATACAGTGCCAGATGTCAGGTGAGTATCTAGTGGGCGAATAGCAGTGGTGTTAGGTATCTGGTGACAATGTCAGGTGGTGAGTAGTGGGAAGTGTCTGGTGAGGGTTGACATTGGCCAACAGGATGAGGAGCAGCCAATGATGAACGAACCAGTCATGGGAGAATGGTTGATAGGTGGATTGATTCGAAGGGGGTGACAACCCGGTCTGTAGAACGAGTTGCCCTATAGTTTGCCATAAGGTGCCTGAGCAGGTGTTCCTATGAATGCATGCCAGGATTTGAGATATGCATGCGTCTGCTCCTAGCTATGTCTGACGCAGGAGATATATTCCTCAAAAAAGTTTACAGAGAGACAGCGCCACGCAGCTGTGACTAATCAGCACTGGTCACAACATTGTTAATGAGCACCCACTGGACAAAATACTGAATTCAAAACGTTGGTCTGGCAAACTGAGTTGAATGTGTACTGTTTGTAATTGTGTGTTTGGTTTTCATTGTGTGTGTGTTCATAGCTGGTGCATCAAGATAAAAAGAATTACAGCTCGTCCGCGATTGAAGAGTATGACACAGATGTAAGGTGTCATTTACATTGTATTTGCCAATTACATATAATCACGACAGTCTTTTTTAAAGAAGATCAGTTAAATAATACGAGGCGGACAGCACAAGAATGTATAATCACGTATATATAGGGTATATACTGCATTTATGGTGGCCTTATATTTAATGGCTATAGACAGTCTTCGCTTAGCACGAAGCCGTAGAACGCCGATTCGTTATATCACTCTTTGTCCTGGAGACATTTATTTTACAAACAAAAAGTAAAAAAAATCAAAACATCTATAAAGCACTTATGAGTGAGAACACGCTGCAGCGCTGGCTTAGGAAACGTAGCCACCCCCATCATTAAATCAGCTAATGAGAGCGACGCATGGCTCTGAGCCAACCAGACCCCACCACTCCCCGCGATTCGATTATCACGATTCATGCCTCGGTTTACATTTCAAAAAAAATGTCATAGCCAAGTGAGAACACTCAAGAGTTTCAGGCTCCATCTATAAGAATCCTCACCACAGAAGTGTGGATGGAGGGCATCATTAAAATCACCACGGATGTCCTGGAGCTCTTTTCTGAGAAAGACCCGGACTGTGAGGACAGCAGCAGCTCCTACATCCTCAGTTCAACACGTAGTAGGCTTTCGCGACCAATATCCAAAATAGAGGTGTATTTTTTGGGTTAGATCGTGTAAATATAAATGGGTCGTGAGCATCCAATGCCAGGTATTGCAATTTTTGGACCCAAAAAGGACAATATACATGCATAATGTACATGCATTATGTATGTTGATTTAACTGTGAATAACCCAACCAAGAATGGATATCCATTGTAATTTATATAAATACGTGAATCCCTCCTCTGGTCTTCACACCTGATTGGCTCACAAGTGACAACATCACATTTATCCCTGTTAAGACCAAAATAGGAGGAGGATTTCCACAATGAAGCCCTCAATGCCCATACGAAAGACAACGCTATCGGGAACGCTTCCCCATATATACAATGGTTATTACGACCCCTTTTAGTGCAGATTCAGTTAGCGCTCACTTATTCAGGAATGCATCTCGAGTGCTAAGCAAGGGCTGCCTGTATCAGTCTTTGCTCAATTGAGGCTATTGACTAGTTCTAGGTCAACAGCTGTCTAGTCATACCATTCAAGTCACGTCAGCATCTGATAAATTTCACACAAATTCAACTGTAAACTCTTTGACCTTTTTTTCCAATTGTGTCCCAATGTAATAATATTGGAAAGGATTTTAATGCTTTGTAACACATCGTTGGCATATCTGTTGGGCCTATTGTCTTTTTATCACATAGTGGGCATTTGAAATGAATAGACAACCTGTTAATTACAATGTCTTTACACCTCATGCCCTGTCCGAGTCTGGTTTTGCCACACATGGACATATTGTTCAGCCTTGTGGTAAAGTGAGGAAGTGGGCTGAGTGTGGGGTTAGGAGAGTGAGGAAGTGGGCTGAGTGTGGGGTTAGGAGAGTGAGGATGTGGGCTGAGTGTGGGGTTAGGAGAGTGAGGATGTGGGCTGAGTGTGGGGTTAGGAGAGTGAGGAAGTGGGCTGAGTGTGGGGTTAGGAGAGTGAGGATGTGGGCTGAGTGTGGGGTTAGGAGAGTGAGGAAGTGGGCTGAGTGTGGGGTTAGGAGAGTGAGGAAGTGGGCTGAGTGTGGGGTTAGGAGAGTGAGGATGTGGGCTGAGTGTGGGGTTAGGAGAGTGAGGAAGTGGGCTGAGTGTGGGGTTAGGAGAGTGAGGATGTGGGCTGAGTGTGGGGTTAGGAGAGTGAGGATGTGGGCTGAGTGTGGGGTTAGGAGAGTGAGGATGTGGGCTGAGTGTGGGGTTAGGAGAGTGAGGAAGTGGGCTGAGTGTGGGGTTAGGAGAGTGAGGATGTGGGCTGAGTGTGGGGTTAGGAGAGTGAGGAAGTGGGCTGAGTGTGGGGTTAGGAGAGTGAGGATGTGGGCTGAGTGTGGGGTTAGGAGAGTGAGGATGTGGGCTGAGTGTGGGGTTAGGAGAGTGAGGAAGTGGGCTGAGTGTGGGGTTAGGAGAGTGAGGATGTGGGCTGAGTGTGGGGTTAGGAGAGTGAGGATGTGGGCTGAGTGTGGGGTTAGGAGAGTGAGGATGTGGGCTGAGTGTGGGGTTAGGAGAGTGAGGAAGTGGGCTGAGTGTGGGGTTAGGAGAGTGAGGATGTGGGCTGAGTGTGGGGTTAGGAGAGTGAGGAAGTGGGCTGAGTGTGGGGTTAGGAGAGTGAGGATGTGGGCTGAGTGTGGGGTTAGGAGAGTGAGGATGTGGGCTGAGTGTGGGGTTAGGAGAGTGAGGAAGTGGGCTGAGTGTGGGGTTAGGAGAGTGAGGATGTGGGCTGAGTGTGGGGTTAGGAGAGTGAGGATGTGGGCTGAGTGTGGGGTTAGGAGAGTGAGGATGTGGGCTGAGTGTGGGGTTAGGAGAGTGAGGATGTGGGCTGAGTGTGGGGTTAGGAGAGTGAGGATGTGGGCTGAGTGTGGGGTTAGGAGAGTGAGGATGTGGGCTGAGTGTGGGGTTAGGAGAGTGAGGATGTGGGCTGAATGTGGGGTTAGGAGAGTGAGGATGTGGGCTGAGTGTGGGGTTAGGAGAGTGAGGATGTGGGCTGAGTGTGGGGTTAGGAGAGTGAGGATGTGGGCTGAGTGTGGGTTAGGAGAGTGAGGAAGTGGGCTGAGTGTGGGGTTAGGAGAGTGAGGATGTGGGCTGAGTGTGGGGTTAGGAGAGTGAGGAAGTGGGCTGAGTGTGGGGTTAGGAGAGTGAGGATGTGGGCTGAGTGTGGGGTTAGGAGAGTGAGGAAGTGGGCTGAGTGTGGGGTTAGGAGAGTGAGGATGTGGGCTGAGTGTGGGGTTAGGAGAGTGAGGATGTGGGCTGAGTGTGGGGTTAGGAGAGTGAGGATGTGGGCTGAGTGTGGGGTTAGGAGAGTGAGGATGTGGGCTGAGTGTGGGGTTAGGAGAGTGAGGAAGTGGGCTGAGTGTGGGGTTAGGAGAGTGAGGATGTGGGCTGAGTGTGGGGTTAGGAGAGTGAGGATGTGGGCTGTTTAGCACATTCTGGGTAAAGGTAAAAGGAGAAGAGTAAAATCATGTTGAGTGTAATTGGGATTTATCTGCCGTTTACTGCCCAGACTTTATTGTAGGTGGTGCAATATCAATGGGTGAACATGCGCCCTGTTCAGCATTCACAGCTCTGCCACAGTGAATGCAGGAGTTTCCTCTCGTGAAGAACACTTTGTTGTTGTCACTGCTCCATGCTTCGTCTTTCCCCGTCCCCATGCCACGTGATGCCTGACCATTTATAAGACGGCCACAACTTTGCGTTACGAATCTTACTGCGTTCCTGTGTTTCTATTGACTCAGCATTATAAATGTACTCAATTTTACAATGGCATTGTTTTGTTTCCATATAGATATAATTTAGCAATGTTTTTATTTAAATATCACGTGCACGAGTTTTAGCAATATAAGGCGATTGCCAGTGAAGCATCTGTAAATATTGAATGGGTAATGTTGTTTGTCTTTTGTTTGTTTTGTGGTTGATATATCCACGCCCATCAGTCGATGCTCAGTAAGCTGTGCGAGGAGCATAAAAAGGCACAGCGACAGACTCAGAGGTTGCAGCAACTACGCCAGGAAAAGGTATTGACATTACAACAACTTCACACATTTGTAGAGGAGTATTGTGAGTAACCAATGAGGGGGCGAACAGAAGGAGGTGCGAGCGGGTTGACAGTCAAGGTTGATATAGCATCACGGGTTGCGTTAGGGCTTCGGAGAGCACCTTCGGGAACATGGGCGGGGCCGAGCTGGGGGGAGCCACCCAAGGGGTTCTTAAGGGGGACCCGTGACGAAGGCGGGGTCGTCGCGGGGAGCCAAGGTAAGGATTGGCTGGAAGAGGGTCTCCTTGTCGCGGAGCAGTGTTGGCTGAACCCTCGCTCCGGGCAGACGAGTGAGAGAGCCCAGAGGGTAGCCTAGGGTAGGACCCGAATAGTACTCAGTGTCCGGAGTGAAGGACCGAGATAGAGTGCACCTACACTGTGTGAGTGTAGGATGTGGAGTGTGACAGTGTTTTAATAAACGACAACAGCCCTTCTAGTGTTCCTCGTCTCCGCTTGAGTCTACTGCACAACACATTTACGTGGCACTTTTGAAGATGTAGACCTCACAATGCTCTCTAATATATTGTCTAGAGGAATGAGTAAAGGATCCAAAAATCTCGAGTTTTCTTGGTTAATTTGTGAATGTGTTTTGTTCCGTACGAATGATTTCAGATCGCTTGCTATGCCTGGAGCAGAACTTTAAAAGGCCAAGTGTAGTAAAATAATGATGCAATATTCAAGAGAAAGGTGCCCTGGCAACAGCATTTGTTTGCATTATGATACAATTGCGTGACATTTTGGCCTAGTACATGTTAATATAAATGTACCGCTACAGTTTCGAGTTTGTTTTAATCTGTTATACGGATGGTCCACTTTAGCCAGTTGCCCAGCTATTTTTACATGGGAGATCCGTGGAACATAAACACGGGAACAAAACAAAGACAAAAACATCATGTTAATGCACAACAATCGAGGAGGTACTTAGTCGTAAAAGCGAAATGCACGCAAATAAAAAAAGATCAGTGCAAATATAATGAGATCAAGAGGCGCCAAAAAAAAGTTAGGTACAGGTACAATAAGCTGTTGTACTTTATCTTTCTTCATAAAATATCGTAATTATGATCCATCGCCACATAACCGTGTGTCTGTTACGTGCCTCGGAGTAATATTGTGCAGAACACCATACAATGTGAACGTTTAGCATTCAAGAGACCCTGCAATTGTGTCCATCAGGAGCATCTCGAGGACTTGCTGGTGAGCTTGCACAGGCAGTCCGTGCAGCTGCGGGGCCAGTCTCAGCCTCCAGACCCTCACCTTCAACAGCAGCAGCATGACCTGCAGCAGCGACTCGTCTCCATCCGAGCAGAGATATCCTGCACCACTTCGGTAGGTCAAACGAGCATTGCGTTTTCCGCATCTTAAGAAACACACACCATGCATAGAAGGAACGACACGATCGGTGGTACTTTTTCATCATCAACAAGTGTTTGCTGTTTACTTTACGCGTGAATACAACTCGTATAGCTCCAACACTGGTGCAATCCTGCTTTGTATTAGGCCCTGCACACAACGCGTGACTGCTTTTTAATGCATGCGAGCACCCTTATTGTTCCCTGCAGATGTGTCCACCCGTTCGTTGTTGTTGTCGTTGTTGTTATCATTGTGGTCGTTGTTTTCTTTGTTGTCGTAGTTGTTATTGTCGTCGTTGTTGTTGTTGTCCGTCGTTGTTGTCGTCGTTGTTTTTGTCGTCGTCGATTGTCTTTGTCGTTCTTGTCGTTATTGTTGTCGTTGTTGTCATCGTTGCTGTTGTCGTTGTTGCTGTTGTCGTTGTTGTTACTGTGAACCTAGAGCACCTGATGCACAGCTGAAAGGTTTTTAGTTGAAATGCTCGTTCTGGTTCAACTTCTCCAATCATTTCCCTGCCGTGGATAAAATGCGTCCTTGTGGGAAGCCATTAGCAGTTGTCCTATGCTGAGACAGATTCCTGCCATAGGAACGTGGAATTTACACTCCTGGATTAGGCCTACCATTGCTCGTTTGTGTATGTATGGCGAAGCACTGTGCGTCACTGCATTGCTTGTAGGTTACTGTATTTTTATGTTTCAAAATAGTAACATAACAGAGAGATGCTTATGGCTCGTTTGAAATAATTACATTCAAGGCAGCGATCTCCCTTTTGATTCATCGCCAAGATGACAGCGTGTGTAACAGCAATGTCTTGATGCAAGTTCCCATTAAACTTGTGTTTGTGTTCAACTGGATACAATTTTCTCACTACAATAACTTTTCGTGAACACCGAATGCGCAACATTGTAACAGTGTTCATCTTCATATTATTCCTTTTAAACGGCATTCACTTTCGATAAACAGTTATTTATACATTGTTATTATTATTGTGATCTAGAAATCTTCATTGAGTCTTGGGACCGGTTTACATGACGGGTTTGCGCGTATATTTTTTAAGAGTTAGGGTTTTGAATGTGTGAGGCAACCAGATATGCCATGCTTACAAGGAACTAACATATATGTGATTTATTTTACCGCACATCTTTTAAGCTATTTTAACCCATTCTTAAAATGTATGCTTTCACTTAATTACATTTTTATCACGTGTAAAGGGCTCTGAGATGTCCTGGTGGGAAGGGTGCTCGATCAAAACTAATTGTTATTATTGTTACTGACATCTCCTGGCTGCCTTGCAGCACAGCAGGTTTGTAGTTTCACAGAGCTTTATATGTACGTATGTTGAATTTATTTCCTACTGGATATCTATGAAAAAGAGCTGTATAGGTCATCGGATTCCTCCAATATAAATACATTTTCTGAATCAGATTTTTTTTCACGGTATGTCGCTAACTGTGCTAATCCGAAGTGCGGGGGAAGGCCTGATAAAGTCTCCATAATACATCAACCTAATTTACAAAGCAATGGATTTCAGGCCCATGCCACCAACCATTTGAAATTTCTTACGATGCCATGTGCTGCCATTGGGCAGCATGTGTGCAATAAAGTGAGCAGCACATGTGCATTTAGGTCAAACACATGAAACGTGGCATTGAACCCAGAAATTTTCCTCGTGACGCCAGGAAGAAGTTCTGGTGGTCTCCCCCAGTGTGTATTGTGTTGTTAATAACACTATCTTTTGGACAAGAGACATTTTTATAATAAATATGAATACAACAGCAAACAAATTGGACAAATTGTTCGATCGAGAACTCTGGAGGCGTGGAGCCAGAGCTAAAATACCTTCTCTATGACAGCCTGGACAGGTGAGAGCCTGAACAGTTGATAGCCTGAACAGGTGAGAAAGCCATGAGCTGTCACTTGAAGGTAGATGGTGCTTAGATGCTGCGTATGTACAGTCAGGAGAATTTCATATGGCTACTGGTACAGCTACTGGGAAATTACGCTCAGCAATTAGCCCTGGTTCTGGGTGCGAAGACCAGTTTACTATATGTGCTCTGCAGGACGCAGCAGTTTGCTGTGGTCAGTGGAGTGAGAAGGATGGAGAGGTACGGGGGGGGAACACCTTGAGAGAGCTTTTTCTTGTTCTTCTGATATTGATATATGATATCTATGTGACTGTTTCAGGAGTAGCCACATGGATTTGTTTCGAATTGCCGTTAAATTATCCCATTGGGCAGTTGTTCACAATATGTTGCATAGGTCTGATATGTCACACCACCACAGTCACAAACTGGACTCTCATTAATTTTCCATTTGTGGAGAAAGTGTCCACATCTTCCATGGAGTGTCTGGATCTAATTAAAGGAGGACCAGGATCTTTCTTGGTAGGTCAGATCCTGGTTGGAGGATTGTGAGGTTGCTGGTGCACCTAATACCCCAGAATTGAGCATGATAGGTTGTTTTTAAGCCATTGTAGTTTGTTGTGGTGTTTTTTCTGATGTCGTAGTAAAGACAGGGTTGCAATACATCAACACAATTTCCGACTATAGGCACAAGCTGGAGTGTTTTGCTGACTGTAGTCGACATTGGGGCGGATGTGCCACCAGGCCCTGCGATGGTCACCACAATGCCTTTATTGTGTGGATGATGTGGTTTGTTGAGTGAGAATGGTGATTCCAAGGTGATGCTGAGGATTTTTGAAACTTATTTGAGAGATCGATGGTGGAGCCAACGATGAGCAGTTTTTGTGGGAGTGACGATGTGGTGAGTCACTGCCTTCGGGGTTTTGTTGGTGATGTAAACAAAACCGGTGCTGTAAGGTTGTGGTACAATTTTCATGGTTGAGTGGGCCCTAAGCAGTTAAGGTGGAGAGTATAATTGAGTGTCGTCGGTGTAGATTTTTGTAGTTTATGCCGTGACTATTGACGAGACGACCAATTGGGGAGATGTATAGGGTAAAACACCTATTCTTGTTTTTCATACATTTTTGGGGAGATATCGAGTCGAAAAGGAAAAGGGCCCAGCACGGGTCCATGATGGACACCTGCAGTGTACGTCATGGCATGGGTTGAGATCCTGCCAACCTTGATGTTATTATGACCTTCTTTCAGAGAGATACGATGCGAGCAACTGTAGAGCTGTGCCCCTGATGGGCCATGGTATGAGCCATCACATTTTTATGTTTATTCCATCTTACACCTGCCTTCGTTTTTACTCCCTCCTCGATGAAGATGCACACCTGTCTATGTTTACACCACGTTGTGTGTGTGTGCAGGATGTGGAAAAGACGTGGGCTGAGGGCAACAGGCTGGAGCGGGAATTGATCGGTATCAGTGCCCGGTTGCAAAATGATCTGGAGGGTTTACAACGCAGCCAGGTACAATCTGTTCCTTACACTCGTTATATTTCAATACTGCTAATCTCTAATTTTTATAATTACCACACGTCCACTATAATTTAAAGCTATTTTGAGCAAAAATTAGCATTGAGTACAATACCAGATGACCTTATTTAACCAATATTTTAATCATTTTAGGGATTTTAACAGCTCAGTGTAAATAACGTTGCACAGAAAAAGAAGGTAATGCCGTACTATAATTTGACTTATGTGTTTTGGATATTATATAAAACAAAGCTTTCTGATGTGCCACATTCAGGTCCTATTATTTTGGGAAGGCTAATGTCACTGAACCATGCAGAAAATCCAGTGGGTCGTGTGGCTGAATTAGAAGCATGCATTTATATTATTTGGTTGCTATACATTTCCACATGATAAGCCACTTCGAAATAGACTTGAAATGATTCATACCCCAGAATTGTTACTCGGTTCAAGAATGTGTAATGACATGATGACACCTGCTGGTTGGAAAAGGGAAGCACGGGTACAGGCACCACTAAAACATCATCCAATCCCAAAGGGAGCGGTATCTGGGCCAAAGGTAAGGGGCGGGTCTGGCCGAGATACTCCGGGAACCTGCAGGGAAGGTTCCACAAAATGGTGTGGCCATTGGCAGAGCCGAGCCGTACCTGCGGCAATATAAGCGGAGGCGGAGGAGGACTCGTGGTCGGTGTGTGGAGTCTTGGGTCCGGACTGCGTCGCTGCTTTCCGTCATCCGGCCACGTGGCAGATCTCCTGTTGAGTTCCACCACCCTTACCAGCATGCCGTCAGCCAGGGAGTGGCCGGGAGTGGATGGGTGGAACCACGCCGGATGATCGACCATGTGTGTAGCCTGTAGGGATGCTAACATCTAAGTGTTGTACTCGGAAAAGGAGGAAAATAGAGTTGGCCTGTGTTGTGCCCGTATTTGAAATAAAGAAGAGTACCCTCTCCACGACGTGTCGCGGAAGTCGCTCAATACAAATGTATTCCTTTTTGTATTGTTTTTACCACCTCGTTTCTATTGTTTATTATTTTTAATTTACTACTCATTTGTACAGTTTTGTTCAAATCTATTATCCCAAATGTAAAATTTGCATATGATCTGCATACTTTCTAAATACAGCAATCATATGTGTTGACGCATTTGTTGTCAGTGTAGGAATATATTTGAATTGATGAATTAACAGATCGTTCCCTGATTCCATCATCGTACTCAATGAAACTCAGCATTATAGGTGGATTGAGTAACAGCAAAGGCCAATTGCTGTGTTGTGGTATTGAGGCTGCACTTCCGTAGTCCAGATTTAGAAGCCCCCACACGACCCGTGATGGACCACGACAACGACTCTTCCCAGAAATTATGTTGCAAATAGGTGGGCTTGATCTGGCTCCACATTGGAAAGGTTAAAACACAAACCTGCCTTTACAAGCACAGAATGCCTCCAATAAGACAGGTGCATATATGTTGACGAAGAATCTTGAAGCAGCCCTATGGTCACATGGGGGCCTGATTCCCCTCGGTAACCATAGTGGAACTTTGGCTGGGTGGCAGCCCAAGAAAAGGAACGTGGCCGAGAGGATGACCACCACAGATATGGAGCGATGAGATCAGCTCTTGTGCGGGAGTTGGATGGATAGTTGTATACCGCAGGTCCTCGTGGGATGGCAAATACGTGGGACAGCCTTTGTCCAGCTGTGGATAGAGCTTCACTGATGATGATGATGATGATGAAGAAAGCTGTTAGCTTGTGATCGCACATACAGTATATGTGTGGCTTCAGTTGGTTTAATCGCATCAACAATTTTGCAACTTTTTTCTCTTTTTCCTTCGCCTTGAAGAGCGGCAGTTGTCTACAAAGTGATATTAAAGTATATATATTGCTCGTGCTAACGTCTGCAACTTTACCCAGAGTGTCAACACACATTCGTTATAATCGGTGACTAGTTCTACAGCGGAAACTGTGTTAAACATGCAACAGCAGAACACATTTATCTTTTGACCCTTCCTATTGAGGTATTGATAAATCATAACTAACTTTAGTTGTTCGTGATCTCGTAATTGTGCGAGGGCACATTTGTTGAGTAACCTGTGTTTTTCTACTACGGTGTTTGCGTGCCCTCGATGTGCTTTCGATCCTTACTAGTCAGAAGCAGTTGAACGGCAGCAAGCACACATTGAAAGGGAATTGTGGAGGATCCAGGATGTTATGGGAGGCTTGCAAGCAAGCGAGACAGAGACCGAGACCGAGACAGGTAATTTCACACCAGTGCGCATTGTCACTGACTTTAGTTATATAATATGGTATCGCCAATGCTGTTACATATTATTTGTTGCTGTGACTTGCTGACCTGTCCATCCTGGACATCTGTGAAAAAAGAGCTTCATAGCTTATCGGATACTTTCCCCAGTTTAAAAGAGTCTGATTCTGATATTGTATTGTATGTGTTCAAATACGGTGAAACGTAGCCATCATCGTTTGTGATCTGCAATAGCCGGGAATTTGTGAGTCTGTCCCTGACATCAGAGACACAAGGGTCAACGTAAAAATAAAAGCGCATATTGAAAAAAATGCGACATAGACAGCTTAAATGTCAATGTTGAAACGTACTCTTAGTTCTTTGGGTAAAGTCACGTAGGTAAAAAAAAATGAAATTAAAATTAATAAAAAAATCTAAACAATAAAATCACGACGTTTCGGAGGCAACACAAGCTTCCGTCGTCAGGTGAAACTGTCACAGCAAAAAAAAAATACAGATATTTTGCTGTGACAGTTTCACCTGAAGACGGAAGCTTGTGTTGCCTCCGAAACGTCGTGATTTTATTGTTTTTTTTAATTAATTTTAATTTCATTTTTTACCTACGTGACTTTACCGAAAGAACTAAGCTTCAAATCTAGAATGTTCAAACGGTCTGGTTTTGCCTCTTAGCAGTGGCACAGTACAGCTGCACACTGCGATGTCATCATGTGGTAAAATTGGTGTGCGTAAAGTTCATATATAACTACATATTTAGCCAACTCATCTAAATGCGAAATCTGTCCGTGGCTAGCCGAGGTTTTACCGTATAAACACGAATATGTTTATATGTATAGGAAAACATAAAGCAATGTGTGTTTGTACTTTAAACACTAAAATTTAAAGCTTACAACTGTGTTACACACAGATAACTATTTATTAGGGAGGACAGAGGACAAGGAAAGACCTTCAAACCCTCTGCTGCAGCGAGGCAGAATGCCTTCACTTCCTTCTACTCCCCAACATGTCCAACAGGTATGGAATGCTGGGGAAAAAACACTTCGCTTAATCCATAGCTTTAATCCATAGCTTTAATCCATAGCAAAAACAGTTCCTGAACGAGAATTGTAAGTTGGCTGGATGGATGGTGTTGTAACTGACACAGTCATTTAAATATGGGAAGGTTGTGAGTTGAAATATAAAGTTGTGAAATCGTGTAATAATTACTTTTCCGGGAGTGCCACGCTGAGTCTGAAGACTCCCTTTCAGGGTGTCCTGCATCAGGATATTTGTTGAACACCATTGCCAATGTTTGCTGTGCCAGTGACACGTAGTGAGCACTCTCCAACTGCTTGAGTACGAATCCTTTTGTGTGTGTTACAGATTCACGTCATAGCCTTGCAAAGTGCTCTATTACACAACATTGGTCAACATGCTTTAATGTGGTGTGTTTGGGCATCTTATGCTTTACAATCAGAATATCCTTGTTTCTTTTGTACTACTTGAGAACACATTGAATTTTCCCCTCCAAGGGAGACCGACGTTAACATACAGGGTAGAAAAAGAAGATAGGTTTGGCAGTGGTTTACAAGTGTAACGGGTTCCGGAGACACTTGTAGAGGTAACTTCTTTATTCCACTCCAACAGCACTCCAACACTCCAACACTCCAACTCTCCAACTCTCCAACACTCCTGATACTCTGTTACAGCCTAGGTACACAGCCTAGGTACACAGCCTAGATACTCTACTCTGGCTACGCTCTGGAACTCACCCTCACAAGGTCGTAGAGTCGGGAGTACCAGAGTCCCACCACTGGCTCTCACATCGTCCCAGGGTCCTCCGATGGCTGGTCTTGGGTCTTGGGTCTTGAGCTACGACTGGGCCCCGATCGTCCAGGGAGCTCCCCTTTTTATGCCTGGTCCAACGAGGGGTGGGGCCATGTGCGCCACCAGACATCCCACAGAGCACACACAGCCCCCCCCCCCCCCCCCCCCCGTTGGCGGCGCCAAGAGGCTTAAGCGTCTGGACCCGCCTGGGAACCCAACGCCTGGTGCCAAGAGGCTTAAGCGTCTGGACCTGCCTGGGAACCCAACGCCTGGTGCCAAGAGGCTTAAGCGCCTGGCCCACCCAGGGTCCCAGAGCCCCCAGCAGCCCCTCCCTTCTTATGTCACTAGACAAGTGTAATAAAGGACTCTTTCACTGTGTCTGTCTCCGTTGTCCTTTATTTGGGTTCTTACAATTTGTCCCACACGGCCCTCGCTCAGAGCCTTCCCGCTTGGCAGCTTGACAGCTGCCGTCGCTCCCGTAGCCTTTCCTCACTCCCAATGCAGCTCCGCTGCAGGCTTCCCTCTCCGTCTCTCCGCCCATCTGCAGTCCTTCAGCTGCTCTCGCTGCAGCTCCAACCGTGCCCGGACACCGCTGACCGACGGTGCCGAGTCTCACCGCGTGGCGATCTCGCCACCCTCCACTCTCTGCCCTGCGTGGCCTCCTCCTGTTTCTATCCCCACACTCTCCTCCCGTCCCTTCCGGTTACCCCCCTTAAGAGCTCACCCCTCTCTCCCACGTGACCTAACCCCTCCCCCCCGTGACGTCATATCCGCGAGGCCGTTTACGCCCGCATTACACCACCCTCCCCCGTGGAGAAAATTCCAGCCATCCTCGGCTGAACAACAAGAACAACAAGTAATGTGAGCGACAAACAACCATCAGACATGTAAGGACAACGAAGCATACAATAAATATAACAATAACAACAAGAACAAGAACAGTATAAATCAACGAAAAGTAAGGGACTTCGACCGTGTGCGGGTCGCCGGCCCGTCCCGGACGGGCGGCGGCCCCCCTGCAGACCGAGAACGCGACGGGGTTTTTAGAGCGACAGGATCAAGACGTCCTGTCACTATTGGAGGCCCGCCAACGTCACGGTCCCGTATCCCCGAAGGGCCAGAGTCCGGGGTGTCCCGCAATCGTGTCCGCGGCGGTGTCGGAAGGGCGGCGGGGCTCGGCGTTCCCGCAGCCGTGGTAGGCCCACCCCGAGCAGAGTCCCCTGTCTCCTGCAGTGTCACGGCCGGCTTGTCTGTAAAAGGCACGACAGGTGCTCTTGCAGGGTCAACAGGCACAGGCAAGGGTGCGTCGGCAGCAACAGACCCCGACAAGGCAACATCAGGAGATGACGCATCAGTTTGAGGGGCCACATATGGTTTCAAGCGAGACGTGTGAACGTACCAACGCCGAGATCCATGCAGACTGTGGGTTGGGAACCTCGATAAGCCGAACAGGCCCTTGCCATGGTTTATGTAATTTAGGGGAGGTCCCTGGCTGCACCTGTGGGCAATGCAGCCAGGCCATCTCCCCCACCTTCCAGGGGCACATCCCCTTAGAGCGTCGAGCGCACCGTTCGTTCCGGGCCTGGGCTTTGGCCGTAGCCATGCGGGCCCCTTCCCGCGCCTCAGTGACGCGGCGAACGGTGTCCTGAATGTAATCAGGAAGAGGCTTAGTAGGTCCCCTCACTCCTGTTCCCAACTGTATATCCATCGGCAGCACGTTTTCGCGACCGTACATAAGGAAAAACGGCGAATATCCTGTAGACGCATGCGGTGTCATACGGTATGCCGAGAGTACCCCAGGGATATGCAAATCCCAATCCGCTTGTTTTTCACTCACCGTATGACACAGCATGGCGGACAAAGTCCGATTCAGCCGTTCGACCATTCCATCCGTCTGCGGGTGGTAGGGAGATGTCCGGATCTTTTTAGTTCCCAGAGCCGCGCACACTTCCCCCAACAATTTAGAAGAAAAATTTCGGCCCTGATCCGTGAGGAGCCTCTCCGGCGCCCCCTTGTCCATAACGTACCCGAATAGAAAGGCATCCGTAATGGACGCCGCCGACTGGTCGGGCAAGGGCCAGGCCATCGGCCAGCGGGAGAGGTACTCCACCCCAACCAGCAAGTATTTATTCCCCTTAGCGGATGGGGGGAAGGGTCCCAAAATATCTAACGCCACCAGCTCATTAACTCGAGACACTTGATTAGACTGTATTGGCGGCACATATGGGTGTTTAGGCGGCTTCCGCCGGGCACATTCGGGACACGCGCGAACGTGCCCGACGACATCCGTCATCATGCCGTGCCAAAAGTAATCTCGCTGCAACGTAAATAGGGTCTTCTGCACCCCCAGATGTAACAGCGTGTCGCAATGCAGAGTCATAATCAATTCGTACCGCAAGGATGCCGGTACAACAAGACGCCAGCGTTCCTGTAACCCTTCCCTCCACATCAGAAGTCCATCGCGGAGAGCGGTGCCCCCAGAACCCGGTCCCCCACTCTCCTTCGCAGCCCGACTCCGCAGGGTCCCCAATGAATCGTCCAGCATTTGTTCACGAATCCATACAGCCCTTGGAAGGTTCAAAACCCCATCAGCCGGTCCCGGCCCCATTGGAGCCTCAGGCACCTCGACCAGCAACGCAACAGGCTGAGGGGGCTGCTGGATCGGCGCACACCTATGCGTCCCCGACGCCAGGGGATCGCTGCGGCAACCTAGAGAGCGCGTCCGCATTTGCGTGACGCACCCCCTTCCGATGATGAATTTGGAAGGAAAATTCCTGTAGCATGTCCAACCACCGCGCCAGCTGGCCGGATGGTTGGTCCACCTTCAGGGCATGCTGAAAGGCCGCATGATCCGTGCGCACAATAAACAAACGGCCATAGAGATACGGTCGAAATTGGTGGAGAAAGTAAACAATAGCCAAAAGTTCCCGGCGAGTGACGCAGTAGCGGGTTTCGGCGGGAGACAAAACCCGGCTACCGTACGCCATCACGCGCTCCACACCGCCTTTGGACTGCGACAACACGGCCTCAATGCCCGTGTCACTCGCGTCTATATCCAGAATGAAGGGCTGATCAAAATCTGGATAATCCAACGTCGGCGCCGTAGCCAATCGATCGCGCAGGCCTTGAAACACCGCCTCCCCTGGCGGTCCCCAGTCAAATTTCCGTCCTTTACCCATAAGGAGGTGCAGAGGCCTCGCGATCGTTGCAAAATTTGGAACAAGCCTACGATAATATGAGGCAAACCCCAAAAACCGACGCACATCCCCCACCGTGGCCGGGGTTGGCCAGTCACGGACGCACGCCGTCTTGTCCAGATCCGTGGCAACCCCGTCCGCACTAACGATATGTCCCAAATAGCGCATGGACCATTGCAGTAGGTGACATTTCTTAGGTTTAAATTTCAAATTAGCAGAACGCATCCTGGCGAACACCGCCTCCAACCTCAGTAAATATTCGTCAAATGTGCGGCTGAAGACAATAATATCGTTTAAATATATCAGACATGTCTCCCACTGCAATCCCGTTGATACCAGTTCCATCAACCTCTGAAATGTGGCGGGGGCAGCATTCAACCCCATCGGAAGACAATTAAATTGAAATAACCCCTGCGGCGTACGGAAAGCAGTCTTTTCCCGCGAGGACTCATCGAGGGGAAGCTGCCAGAATCCCGAAGAGAGATCCAGCGTCGAAAAGAACTTCGCCCCCGACAAGGCATCGAGAGAATCGTCCATACGCGGCAGGGGGTATGCATCTGCGCAGACACTTTATTCAATTTCCGAAAATCAACGCAAAATCGCAATTTCCCGTCTTTCTCTTTAACCAAGACAACAGGCGCGCCCCATGGACTGTTAGATGGAGATATTATGTCCGCAGCCAACATGTCATCCACTGCCCCTCGAACATGTTCTTGCTCCACCGGACTCATCCGATGCGAGTTCAACCGAATAGGGGCAGCGTCCCCTGTGTCAATATGATGGGAAAGCAGGGAGGTGCGTCCCAAGTCCAGATCGTCGGAGCTAAACACGTCAGAATAACTCAACAATAACTTACGAAGCGCACAACGTTGGTCCCCGGAAAGGGAAGAATTTTCCCCACACAATTCGGCGATCCAGCGATTATCTGCGGCCCCAGGGATCGAAACACTGGCAACCATAACCCGGCTGCCCAGATAATCCTGGGCCGTAAACGCTGTAGTGGCATGTGCCACAACCGTACCAGCTGGCACACACACGTTTTCCGTACGCCCATTAAGCACCTGCAAAAATGGCTGCTGGTCCGGCCGGACAATAGTTTGCGCCCCGACGAGCGCAGATCCGCCCGTTATGGTGGCGGACGGCGATAACAAAACCCCAAGTGCTCCTTCACGACCAGGCAAAGGTTTCCGATATCGCAAAGGGATAAGCATCTGTGAGCCAGTTGGAATGTCAACAGATACCTCAGACAACGCCTGCACCTGGCAGACCGGAGCAGGTCGCCCCCAGGGCGACAGCAGAAATGTAATTTTTCGACCCCCCGGTAATTCATTACAGTTTTCATTCATTCTAATTAGAATGGGCATTTTGGCCAGAAAATCAGTTCCCAACAAACACGGAACCGCAAGGGACCTCGAAATTAACACAATTCCCGAGGCCAACACTCCCCCGATAGAAATATTGGCGTCCACCTGGCCCACAATGCCCATATTACCCCCGTTCGCCGCAACGCAGGAATCGTAAACCGGACGCACGGCCCCTGGTGGGATGCCCAACAGATGGAAAATGACATCCGATATAATGGTCGCGGACGCCCCGGAGTCCACTAAAATGCGCACGTCAACCCCCTGTATAGAACCCGGTACAGTGGACGAACCAGTAGCGGCCGCAACGACCCGCCGTGCCAATTTACGCCACTGCGTTACTGAGCGACATGGGCCAGTCGATGGCCTCCCGTTATTAACAACACCCGGATCGCGCGACAATGGTGATGAATGAGGTGTCAAGCCTTGCCGGGTGTCTGGTGCGCACCGACTTGCCTGTCCAGGAGGATCCTTCCGCGGCACGTCTGCTGTGGAGGCCTCCTGCTGGGGCGGACCTGGGATACGGGCCCAGCAGTCCCTGGCGTAATGGCCCTTACGACCGCAGCGGAAGCACTCGATGTCGTTGCGCCGCGCCGCAGGCCCCCCATCCCGACGCTCCCGCGTCGGTGGCGCAGATCGCGGCCCCGGTCCACCGCGGCCCGACCACTGAGCAGAGGCGGCTGTCAGCTCCTGCGGGCCCCCCCCCGTCAGGAACGTACACTGCCTTCTTGGGATCCCAACCCACGGCACCTCCCTCGATGATGGGCCCCCCCGTCCATGCCGTGACTTGCTTCCAGCGGCGTAGGTTAAACTGGGCATCCAGACACTTTGCGGCTGCCCGGGATGTCAGCTTTTTGTGGCCACACACCGGCATGGGAATCCCCAAATCCCAGGACAGCTCGAGCATTTTGCCCAAAATGAGGGGTTTGAGTAGGTCAGGCTCCGTCTCCGGGTATGCGGCCATGGCTAACTCCAAGACAGCACCCCTGTATGCCACCGGCGACTCCTCGGGTGCTGGAAGACTGCCAAATGCCTTGGCAACAGATTTGATGATAAGTGCGTTGAGATCTCGTATTTAAAGTGCGTCATAAACCCTCCTTCACCTGACGCGAGCAATTAATGAGGTTGTCACGATGAACAAACGCGCCAATTTATGACTGCTTCAGCAGCGCCAGCGATAGCGTTGGAGGGCAATGTCACAACATTGTAATGGGTACGACATGAGATCGCTCTCCAGCGCACCACCGGTAGGGTGCCACATCAGTAATAATAAATTGGCAGATTTGTTCATGCGACAACTTTATTAATTGGCTTTGGGAGGTGCAGGAGGGTTTATGACACAATGTGACCCAAACAAACAAATCCATTGTGAATCGGAATATTGGTCATGAAAGCCTTTGTGTTCAATTTAAGTGTGTTGTGGATGGTATATGCTTTGTACATGCCTATACATATTACTATAGGCCTAAAAATAATAATAGGTTTTACCATTTCTGGCAATACAGCAGGTTTTAAGATTATTGTCATCCAATGATATCATCCCGAGCTATAAATGCTCTGATGCGTGCATTGTCTTTGTACTGTTTGCCTTTAGTGTTCTCTGGTTTGATACTGGTGAGACTAGGCCATAAAGAAGCATGTGTAGTAAGTATATGGAAGCTTGACGACAGGATCGGAGGCACACTTATTTATTACACCAACACAGTTATTACAGATCACTTGGCTACAGGGATTTCTCGACAGCTAACCCCTCTAACCTATACCAATTCCTCCACTACGGGACTAGGGGAGGCTATCTGTCCCAGCTTGGTTAAGCTGGGATCCCGGCTCCCTGAGTCACCAGACCAGCTTCGTCTGGGCTCTCGGGGCCACGCCACCGGCTTGCCCTGGTCGGCCCTTATAAGGACAGCGAGCCAGGGGAGCTCTGGGGCCTACACTAGCTGGTCTTCCGTCTTCTCTGGTTAAAGCTGAGTCCCGACGACCTCGAGCCCTCGAGCTCATCACCTTTTATAGGACTCGCCCCCGAGGGGGGGCCCGTGGGGGATACACATGCGGACGTCGGTGCGAGCGCCACCCTTGTGTACGGCCGTAACCCCGCCCCTTGTGTTTGTTGGCCATCCGTGGCCATGCATAATCACACCTCCACATTCGTAGCCATGCGCAATTACACCTCTACACATGTATCTGATGTAGGCTCATCAGTTGTCAAAGACAATGCGTATATTATATTATCAAGAGCCTGTTTTTGCAATTTCATCACAAGTACGTGTGGTTAATGCAAATTTGATTCTTTGCCAAAGGTTTATATTTGGTGTTTGAACATTTTAATATCTCCTGTTGTATTTCCAGAAAGGTTGAAACCTATTCTTATATTTTCATACTTTGATACTGGCAAAAAGGCCCCATGACACTATAAGCCTAATTACACTCTCATTGCAAGATAATTTAAACATGTTGGAATTATCTGAATACATTGTATGACAATAACCTTTGTGGCTTCATGAGCAGTGCCATTGGAACAAAGCAATACAGGACTGTATACGTAATTTACGCAGGTGACTTTCTGTACAAATACAGGTATACAAATGCTTTAAAGTTAAATATTTACTTAACAAAATGTCATAAACAATGTGTTGTATAAACAGGCAAATATTCATTTTCTGACACCAAAACTGTGCATGTGATCTATTTCAGTTCCGGAAAATGTCCTCTCTGCCTTCGCACTCTTCCAGTTGTAGTCCAGTGGGGTCACTCTCTCCAGGAGACTCTCTAAGCGAGAGCATCACCACCCCGCTCCAAAGCATCAACACGTCCCCAGCCCACATGGCTCACGTGCCACTCCAATCCTACATCCTGCCTCCCCAGTCTCATGCCCCAGAGCCGCCACCTCAAAGACTCCTTCAGAACAGCGGCAGAACTCTTTATGGTGCCAACATGTGCAGTATGCCAGGTCAAAGCCGTTACGGTGGAAAAACGAATGCCGAGTCAACGTCTCCGCCGGTGCCTGCTGCTCTTCAGGGCAGTGCTCACTTGTGGAAACCTACCAGGAGACACAAAGCTGTCGGCCAGCCGTGGTCAGCAGAAAATGCCAACAAACACGTGCTGGAAATGGGCGTCTCTTCTGGCATTGACAGAGTAAGCGCGAGCGGTAGGGTTGCTGCCTGCCTGCATCTGATCCACGCAGTTTGAGACTTGGTACCTGTGATCGTGTCACAGGAATTCGTAGCGAGATCCGGTGGAATTGTGTTGAACTTAATTATACTATACTGCACAGTTTCGATAGACATAAACTGACTGAGAAATATATCTGGGTTTGGTCAACAGTGGAAAATGTGGCAACCTAGTTGAGCATCCATAAAACATAATGCTTTAATATATGAGACACTTAAGTTTAACACATAGGTTTTGTTAGCCAATATGATTTATAATGGATTTTGGTTTAGGCAACATAATGATCTGGTCAGATATGTTTGTGTTGATGGTGGAGAGTCTTAACGACGCATATTTGGCCAGATCATTTTGGGGCTAAATCTTAAAGTGGCCTAAATTAATTATGAATGAAATGTTAAGTTGAAGGCTTACATTTTTCTTCAGTTACTCTGCATTATTAGACCCTCCATTTGTTTTATTCAAATGTAATATACAGTATAATGTAATTTAAACTGCAACAGTCTAATTGAATGCTTGCGTAATGTTTATGTGACCAAAATTTTCATTTTGGAGACTTCGTAAACCGATTTCATTATCACACCAGGTTATCTTTGAACTTCACCCAGCGCCAGAAATAGAAATCCTTTTGACGGGAGGGGAAGGGGTGGGGGTCTCCTCCCCCACCCGACCCTGTATCACGTGTCCCCTCAGCGTCTTTAGGCTTTTGTGCTAGCGCTATGAAGTTTACATGAGCTTGCGCATGAGGCATTATTTTTTACTTCGTTCTTCTAGACAGGAGAGTTCTATATTTAGCTTGGGACACTTTGTGTTGTCCCAAGGGAGTGGGGCTTTTGGCTGCTACACCGCGGCTATGTCGACCAGGCGTAGCCTGCCAGCTGAAGGTATTGGCTAGGACTTGCTAGCCACCTTCACCCATCCACCCGAAAGATATTACTGCGCGTGTTATTGTATCGAGTATGTCATGGTGTTTCGTCCCGTATTTCGATGAAGTTTTGATACTAGGTGGGCACCAAGCAGGTTTTGCTTCGTTCCGTTTGACTCATGGTGGACGCTTTTCATCACTTCCGTTTTTTTCTCAACGATGCAAAATGTCCTCTTTTCCCCACTTAGTTTCCTCATGGTATGGGTGCAGTGATGGGCATGGTTTCGGAGCGAACGTTTATGACCCAGGACAAGATGGCAAAGTTGCGTTTAGGGGTGGCCAAGTCGCTGGTCGCCAACGGCGGCTCTACCAGGTCGCTCATTGTGCTTCTGTGTCACGTGGCATCCTTTGTACAGGTCATCCCCTGGGCTAGGCTTCACATGCGGGCCCTTCATTGGTGTCTGTTGGACCAGTGGGGCCCTGTAGAGGGTCTCACAGAATACTTTGTCACTCTTTCACTCGATGCTGTTCAGGACCTCCAGTAGTGGACCGAGGCAGAACATTTTTTTCTGCAGGGAAGCCTATGGGGTTCTTCAAGGAGGACATGGTAATTGAGACCGATGCCATTTTATTTGACTAGGGAGCTATTTCTGGCAGGGTTTGAATTGTGGACCATTCACCTGACCTCAGCCTGGTTGGTTGATCATGTCACAGGCAAGGCTGTTCTTCTGCACTGTGACAATACCACCGCTGTCGCAATGGTCAACAGGCAGGGATCTCCTCGACATGATGCTTTTATGTGCTAATCACTTGGCCTTTGTGATGTATGCCACGTGATGCATTACAGCCTTCTCCCCTGGACCGAGCAGCACGGTATCTCTCTAAGCTTATGTTCTGGCCGGCAAGGCAAGTGTACTTCTTCTGTACGTCTGCTGATGTAGATACAGAGCGATAACTATAAATTTATACTTTTAGGTGGTCAAGCCAGATAACCGCGTCAGGAGCAGGGGACTATCATTGCTGTAATGTCTCCTTCGTATTTGTGGATCAGGCATTGCGTTGTGATACGTTGTACGGTCTCTGTTCTGGATGACCACAGCCGCACACTACTGGAGAGTTTTTAATTTTCCATTTGTGCATCAGGTACCCACATCTGCCATGGATTGTACAGTTGATGCGGTTTAGGGTGGACCATGAGCTTTGTGGAAGATCAAACCCAGGGATCTTCTGCATTGAGTCGTTCACAAGGTGTTTGTAAGTTATTTTGAACTCCATTCAGCTCTCAAGGTTCATCGGGGTTGAACTCGCATTGATGAAGGTTAAGCGCATGGGTCCAAAAGGGCTTGCTTGACTTCAAGCGATGATGAGGGATGTTATTGAGATCCTGATGAGCGGGAAAGTGACCTTTTCTTCGATTCGCAGGACTTCCCGGAGGGTTTCAGGATTGTGGTGGATGGGTGGAGGAGAGATGTGGTGACAGCACGGGCAGCCAGGGTGTTGGGGTCGACTTGAGACTCCAACACCTGCCTAAAATGACTGAACCCAGCCGAATGGGCCTTACATCGCCACAATTTTGGTTGGGTTGTCACCAGGTTCGGCAAGCCATCAATGGACTAGTTCGCATCACCAGACAATGCTAAATTAACCCAATTTGCATTCTACTTCTGGCAGGCCAGGCATGTTTTGCCACAGATACACTCCCACTGGGACCTCGAATTTGGTCGTCCGTGTTACCTTCGTTGTCCATATTCCCCGAGGTGCTGGAGAAGGTGGTGGGGGGCAATGCTCCACCTGATCTTCATCGCATCCAGATTGGTCCGAATGTCCTCGATCTCATACTGCCTAGCTCTGCTTGTTGCTCACCCTTGGCCCCTGATGAGGTGGCCCAACCTGCCCCAGCAGAGCATATGGTGCCAAGACATCCATTCAGCCTTTGGGTCTGACTGCATGGTTGTTGAGCAGCGCTGGTTCTGCCGCCTCAGCTTGGATGTTGCAGTCAAGGATCTGCTCCTAAAGCCCTGCCAGTGGCATTTCACCAGTGGTATATGCGATGCAGCCTGAGTCACGGATTTTTTGCCTCAGTTGCCAGCTTTCTGTTGGGAAATTTCCGCAAAGGGCTTCTCCAGATTAGGCTTTAAGGTCAGGTCCTTTGAGAATGTCGGCCTTACATTCCAAAATCCACGACAGATTGCTTGACTCGTCAGACATTTTGACTTATCCTTTTCAATCATTTAGGTAGGAGAGACCTCCTGTATGTTCTGCGGTTTCTGCCTGGAATTACATTTGGTTTAAAATTCACTTTGCGAGCCACCATGGCTTCATATGATGAATAATGTTTATTGCTGATTTCCACGTGAATCTAGAAAGAAAAAAATCCCTTCTTCCCCGGGGCCCTTTCATTCCCATACGCACGTCACTTTCCACAGGTGTGGAGCTTGTTCGGGATCTTTTTATCTGAAGCGTTCATCTGCTTCGCAGAAATCCAACCATTTATTCGCTTTGTCAGCCTGGGGGCAAGTGAAGTGAACCGGCTACCAAAGAGAGCGTATTGCAGCTAGGTTTCGAGAATACATCCAAGATTCATATATGCTCAAGAGGCCTTGGCTGCCTGGCATATTGTGCTTCTCATTACACTCACGGCATGACTGAGTCTTGGGCCACTAGGGCTGGGGGGCTGAGGTTCCATTGACCTGAAATGTGGAGCTCCCCCATGTCTATGCCAGGCATTATCGCTTGGACACTCTTGGCATCCCAGGAAGGTCTGTTTGGCAGCACAGTCCTTTCTGTTGTGATGGACCACTAGTATTTTGGGTGTTTTGGTAAAGTCACGTAGAACCTATCTACGTGACTTTAACGAAAGACCCAAAAAATATGAATTCCTGCAGTCACGAAAGCTTTCAGTCAAGATTTAGACCATGAGTAGTTAGCTGTACTCCTCTGTTATTTGATTTATTACGTTGTTTACTCTTGATCCTTGGTTTTTTCCAGCACCTTCTTGTTTTCCCTTTAACATGGATTTGGGTGGCAGCCGCTGAATGAATTAAACGGGGCACCACTACCACGTTAATTCCAGTTTTAAGAAGCAGCCACCACTCTGCTCCACTTCCTTCTTGCCCTCAAAAACTAGGTCCTACGGTGGTCCTTTTTTGGTTCTTGACTCATGACTGTGGTGTCACGGGATTATGTTCTACGTGCAGGTCGCTGCGTGTCCCTGGATCGTTTTGCTTTGCTCAAACATCACTGAGTATTCTACGCTAGGGGACACGTGAAATAAGGCAGTGGGGCGCGGGTGGGTCCTCCACCAGTCAAATGCTTTTAGGTTTCTGGCGCTGGTTCGGGATGAAGTTCAAAGATAAAGTGGGGCTGCTGTCGCCTCTGAAACTGGCTTGATGTGAGCACGAAAGCCCTGTATCACACCGACTTTGGTTTTACTCTCAGCAACAAAAGCCACCTACAGAGGGCGATTTTAAATAATGATGATGCTCAACGTGAAACTTGAAAATGTAACATTAATGTAGAGTTTATTTGATTTGACACAATGGATAATCCCATTTAGCCAGTTGCCCAGCTATTTTACAAGGGAGGTCCTCGGTGCGTGAGCGCAGCAATAACAACAGAAACAAAAAGCAAAAACATGAAATGTTGCAGAGAACGCGTTCAGGGTCCTTCACGAATAATGCACAACGAACAAACGAGGTATTTGACGGGCGTAAAACATGTAACACGCAAATAATAAAATAACCGTGCAAATATATAATATCCAGCAGGAGGTGCCAGAAAAACAGTTAGGTACTGGTGTAAGGAAGCTCCCTATTTTAGTCTTAACAGTGACAGAAACAACTTGTGGTCAAAACACGGTCTGAAGAATTCAAGAGTACTAAAAATGCTTTGACACCTCCGATTGTTTTCAGTGTGTAAAGTAGACTGGAATACAAATATTTTAATACAGAGAACTTACATTTGTCTACACTGGTCTAGAGGTGAACGCCACAGATGGTTGCCGTTGTATTTTCCAGCCAAACTGGCCTCACCATTAAAATTGTCACGGTGGTTGATTTATTAGGTTAAGAAATTGTCATTACAACAATTTACCTCTGGGTAATTTATATTTAATGTGCAAACTGTAACTATGATATAATTTAGCTACATACGTTACATCTATAACATCGTGGCATTAATATTCTCAGTGGTTTACTGTTTGAACACATTTTCTCCCCTCTTTTAAATGTAGAATTTAGAGGAATATACCGGTGAATTTGGACTTTTTTTTATTAATTTCAATGCTATTGTACATATGGAAGAAAAAAAAAACTCACAACCTTCACCATCAGCAACTTCTTATCACGGAAAACACTCCCTTTCCTGACAACACATTACCCGAAGCATAAATTAGAGATTTCCGAAGCGTTGAAGCTGCAGACTTGATAACAGGTGGTGGGTGAGGTATTCTTGATCTGTGCTGGTACCAGTTGTCCCTGAGGGTTTTATTTGAAATGGATATTCATGAACTTGATCCAATACGTGCCCCTATTGAATTTTGTTTTGAGCCTGAAAATATGTTGACGTTTTTGGAGCCACGTTTATGTTTGCATTTTTGTTTGGCTTCCCTTTGTTGCCCGTACCCCGCACCTTCGATGAGCACAGTTGGCTACCCACAGTGCAAAAGAAGTTCAACATACATACATACTTATACCTGTCAACCCCTTATCAGTGCCTACTTTATTACAGACCAATTCAGACCTTATTGGTCACCCTGTGCCTTTACAAATCTCAACGTTCATCCTACAAAGTCCCATCACAAGGTAGAAATACAACCAAATAGACCAAAAACAATGTGCCCGTATTGAAATGGCTGTACGCCGTATGGACCTGAAAACTAAATTTTCCTGTACAAGAATACCAGAAAATCGTATGGGTTGACAGGTATGCATACTTGTTTTCTCACAATCCCACTTGTAAGAGAATCGCTGATGTCTTTCCCTTATTAATTTTCCATTCTTTGGGTTGTAGGAAAATGTAATTTCAAGCCTGTGCATCACCCAATAATACTACGTAACTACTGCACTTTTTTGAATGTTGGGAAAATTATGGTTTTTATTTTTGCTTTTCTAAAGTGATATATCAAATAAGGTCGTTTTAAATTAACGCGATCCATGCGGTTCCTGTGTGGACATGACGCAGATGTAAGTTATTTGAATGTTTCTTTGCTATAATTGTATTTAATGAAAATGTTTTATTTTTTTACAGGAGAGGCCTAAAAGTGTATCGGACACTGGAGCTATTGTAGGTTCCTCCAGAAGCAATAAGATGAGTGCGGAAGAGCAACTGGAAAGGATTAGGTTGCATCAGCAGATTGTGCAGAAGAACCGTAGAAAATCTCTGTCCACGGACCCCAGCCTTGAGGCTGAGATAAATGCTCTAAACATGTCTGTACCAAATGAGCAAGTCAGAAAAGACAGGCTTAGGATACCCAAACGGTCTGCCACCGTGGATTGGAGTGCAGGAAATCCCCCAAACCCACCAATGAGATCGGTGTCTATGGAACGGACGGCTGTCATTGGATTCAAAACTCATCAGAGGCCAGAGTCCCTCGGTGTCCCCAAGGTGAACAACTGCATGTTTTACAAACAGGGGGGGAAAGTCAAATATTATTTTTGTCAATGTATGGTACTTTAATTTTCATTATCCTGAACAACTTAGGGGTGTTACCACTTGTCCCGTTGTGATTTGGTGCTTTGTCATGAATTACGGTCGGCATTAAATAATAACCTTTGCATTTATATGGCGCTTTTAAATGTTTTGGCAACTCAAGGTGCCTTGCGTGTCATATCTCATGTCAAGCATTCGAAGGGCACTTGCAGTGGCATCCACCACCATTGGGCAGAAGGCGACTCAGCACCAGCCTGCAAGCGGGCATTATTCTGACAGTAGGAGGCGACGATTGTTATGTATTGAGTCATTTGCAAGTAATATTTTAAATTTGTCAAATCTGCACCATGATACTGGCACACAATGGCCTACTCTTGAAAATGATTAACTGTGAATAACCGAACTAATAATCAATATCTATTGTAATTTATATGATTACATTACCCCCACCCGCCCTGGGCTTCGCATCTGATTAGCACACAAGTGACGACATCATATTTATCCCTCTATTTAAGGCCGAAACAGGAAGATTGCTCCACAATTCTGGCTGTCGCCTGATGAGGCTGGTTGTAATTATCGGCAGAATGTCGTACTCGAATTGGAAATGCTGTTGGTTTACTCGCCAACACACCGGTGTGCTGAACTAGTAACTCATTGGCATGTTTTTTTTTACGTGACAAATCTAACTAATTGGCTGTGTCGGGTGGTGGCGTGTTTTAATGACACATTTATATATTTTACAACTAATCATGTATTCGTTCATTGAAATAGAATAACAAAAGTCATTGGTTAACGGTTTTAATGGCAACATGTTTATATGATTCAGGTTTGAACGTTAAGTACAATTACATGCACAGCTCAAAGAGACGTTATGTCATTAAAAGTAATAAGGGTGGCATGTGACGGTAGGACTGTGACATGTTGAGTGACCCTTGATGTTTGCAGGTTCGAGGAAAGCAAAGGGACGACATGGATATCAGTGCGCTGGAACAGGCAGTGAGGGCATCTGATGCCACAGCAGTCGAGACCCCAGCGCAGGAAATAGCTCGGCTGCGTGCCGAGCTGGAGGCTGCGGATTTCACCTTTCAGCATTCCGACAGCGTAAAACCCTCAGCCTGTCATTGCCAGCCCTCAACATTTTTGCGCTATTTAAACATCTCACCACGGTGGCGAGATGTTCACTACCTCACCTGGTATATAGGAGGCCGTGGGTTTCGATCCCAACCCGTGATGCCTGTATGTTTGGAGTTTGCATGTTATCTCTTTGGTTGCGTGGATTTTTCTCCGGCCCTCCGGTTTTTACCTCCACGCTTAGAAACATGCGTTTAGACTATTTGGCTGCTTTAAATTTAAACGCGATGAGCCGCTTTGTTGAGCTATCATTTGTGGCCAGGTCGTAGTAACCTGGTTACACCAGCCCACAGGGGATTATTTTGTCCGTCCGTCGTGTAGGGAGGAGCTGGGTGGGGAGGGAGGGGCTGGGTGCGGAGGGTGGGGCTTGGTGGGGAGGGGAGGGTGGGGAGGGGCTGAGTGGGGAGGGTGGAGAGGGGCTGGGTGGAGAGGGTGGGGCTGGGTGGGGGGGTGGGGCTGGGTGGGGAGGGGCTGCTCACCCCGTGGTGCCCTTAACACTTGGTTTGACAGCACGGCGTTCAGGGGGGGCAGTTGGATGGGTGGGCATGTTTACCCTTCCCCCCCACCCTCCCCGACATCGTCAACCAATCGCGGCGTTGCTCGGTGTTCGATGGGGAGGGGATTGCATGAGTGGGCGTGTTTACACCCCACCTCTACCAATGGTGGCCCGCTCGGCGTTTGGGGGGGGGAAGTTGGATGATTGGGCGTGTTTACCTTCCACCCTCCCCGACATCCTCAACCAATCCTGGCACTGCTCGGCGGTCGGTGGGGGGGGGCATGGGTGGGCTACATTCCGATGCACGACAGACAATCCCTGGTGGGCAGTGTGGAACCTGTTGTTCCTACCTGTATCAACGTTTAACCTACTCACGCCGGCTTGTGCCCGCCCTCACAGTCGGGCATATTTGCGGAATACACCACGCCGCCGTTGACCCTGGACATTGACCGAGCAACCCAACGTTACTACCAGCTCCCTCCGCAGGAATGTGTTAGTTCAGTAGGCCTTACATGGTAAAATAAAATAAAAATGTAGTTAAGTTTATAGTTTAAATTAAAATTGTTTAGTTGATCCAGCAGCAGCACCCTTCCATCTTGTTGCTGATCAAATCTTGCACTCTTTCATCTTTCATTCCTCCTCGACACCACTAACCTGTGTGGCTAACCATAATTACATTCAGTTGTCTGTTAAACAAAAACATTGGTCATTTGCACAATGGCCCTGAACTGATACGGTCACTTTAGAGTGAAAATAGCATCAATGATGAGAAAAATTCTTGTTCTAAGGAGCATTTTGTGCTTTTTTCCGACAGGGAAAAACAAGATACAATATTTGATGTGTCCAGTATTCCAATACTTGTGATCGTGTAAATGTCTGAGAAATCCTCTTATTACATTTTACTCTCCACTGCCATTTGGTTTATATCCATGAAGCGTACACTTTTTTGGCTACGTAAAAAAAAATATCGAAACGTATAAACGTTTTCCATTCCAATTGCTATAATTACTCCGATCCAGTACTCTGGAAAACTTCGATGACCAGGATTTTGGCAAGTCCTGGTTTTGTTACTTAACGTGTATGTAATATATTGCATGCACTGCATTGCTGTGCTGCAATGCATGCCCTCAGCATAACCACTCTGTGTTGGCAGCCGTGGAGTCCTGGGACGACGGAGACGCCGACGAGGGACGAGACCCCGGAACAAGATGAGCCCCCGAGCACACGGGAGCTGGAGGCCCGGCAGCGCAACGTAGACAAGATAAAGTGCATGCTTGCCAAAGCCAGGCAAGCGCATGCATCCACGCTCCCAAAATACGCCCACCTACAACCGTGTGTTAATTGGCTGACATTGTAACAACAAAAAACTATACACTATTTTTGCTTTACCAGTTAAGGCCCACTGAGCTGTGTAGCTCTTTTTCAGAAGCGATCTGGCCACAAATGATAGCTCAACGAAGTTGCTTATTGTGTGGAAATGTCGAGCACACAGCAAGTCCAGTGTGATAACCATAACACCACAGCAACATCCCATATTCTTTTGAACCAAGCATCAGATATGTAATATTGGAGAAGTTAACGCTTTTAGTTTTAAAACTTCCTACGTTTATAAAGACTGTGTTTATTGCTGTGTGCTGTGACGAAGTGCTCGACGCACATTCCAAGCGTTTTTATATTTTACAGATGCTTCGGTGGACTGGGGCATTTGTGGCGCTTATCATTTAACGTGTGCTTGATCGAATATAATAAGTATATCATATATATATGTTCACAATTAATGCCACTCCTTTGCTTTAATAGTTTGTACAATGTGACATCGCTGCCCAGTGGGAACGACGGAGGAGGGGTGGCTGTAAATTCACAGCTTTTGGAGCAGGAAAGGAAGATCACGCTGTCGTGTGCACTCGCAGCCGAGGCGTCCCGGCGCAGCAAGACCCTCTCTGGTCAGTGGAGCCGTGCGCCCGAGTCCCAGCGATCGCAGCGATCCCAGCACCCTCACTTCCACACTCTCATTTCTGCCATGGTAATCGGCAACATTGGAGTCCATGCATCCTTCTCAAACATTTTAGTGCCTTAAATGAGCTTCATGGGCATAAAAAACCCAAATGAGCATGTGGACTATTGTAAATTAACTATTTATATTTGTGGAATAATTCTATTTACGCGAAAGCCTACTTGTTTAACTATTTGTAAAAGTCTCAATAGTTTATAATAAAAAAAATACCAAATACCAACGTATTTTTTATATCAGTAGCAACAAAATTATATGTATTTTATTCGTTCCATGTTCCCATTAATGCCATGCAAAATCACAAATCTCTGTAAACATTTGCATATTTTGCATAAGTAACGCCCTATTGCAAATGTGACGAAGTGCCAATTGGTAATCACGTAATCGACCCATGGTTCATTTGCATCCCAAGCAAACCCTGATGTTATGGAAGTCATTATCAATCACAACACACAGCTGTAGTGTTTGGGCTGTTGCTTTTCAAATGCCAAAGGAAAATATTACAATGTACAGATCACCTTGGACGAGTGCGTTATACGTTATATTTAACCGTTATTTTGCGTCTTAAGTGAATGTACTGTTTTTTATTAATAATTGTGTCACACGGCATGTTATTTTTTTCCTTGTAGCCAAAATTACATCTCCTAAAAAGATGTCATCTCCATCGCCAGAGAGCCCAACCGGTGGAGGAGAGCAGTTTAGCTTCAAGTGAAGTGTCACTGGTGAGGCTCACTGTACTTATGGGTTACACAAATGCGCGTTACCAGAACTCAATTTGTGTGTTGTCACATGCACTTCGCATTAACCTGTCCAGAGTTTGCTTGTACTAAAAAAATTCCGCTGAAATCATGTATTCCCAGGGGGCCATTGGGTTGATGGGTTTTTTTGGGAAATATTTTTTTGTGTAGAGACGGATGTATGAAGAATACGTATTGTTAAAGTAATTATAAGCAGTATTTTGGTGGCTCTCGTGGGTTTGCAAAAGCCAGGCCGAGTAATTTATACTCTACAAGATATTCCGAAATTATGTTGTGGTTTACTATAATAACAAGTGAGCACAACCGTTTTCACCTCCGATAACATTCAGTTTTTCTGCCGACAGGGGAAGGAATTCTAGAATGCCGATGGTGCCCAAGAGCAGCACAACGTGTTAAGGGATGTCACGTAACGAATTGCGAATGCATATTAACGCATGGTTTTGCCAAAAATGTGAGTTCACTAGGCCCAAATCAATCGACTATGACTGAATGATTGAGACACTTTTAAAAATATTGATATTTTTCATTCAGTCGCTTGACGGCCTATAATTAGTTAGGGTCATCTTATTGAGGCATAATGCGTAAAATATTTGAACCACACGCAAATGTGTTTCATTTACCAATATCTAGAAGAGATATACATATTGAGTCAGAGTAATATAAATTAGTCGGTTAATAACTGGATTTTGAATTTGAAAATCAAGGCAATTTTTTTAAAGCTTTCCAGTTATTCCGTTAATTAAAAAAAAGCAGTAAATTATGCGTGCTCCACATTCTAATGTTCATATTATACCAACGCATTTCCCTGATATGGAAAGTACTTGAAACCCATTTGAACAGATTCAAATCTGAATTTTTAAAAAATGTTGCTTTTGAAATAACAGATTAATGCTCAGATGTGTTAGCTGCTGAGGGTGTCAGGGCTCCCTGACGACACGTATCTGGGTGTTGCAGTAGTATGTAGTCTCTTCGGACATTCACTTTGGTCATTAGTATTAGCATGGCCTTTACAAGCCCTAAATAGCCTTTCCCATTCCCTATGTTTATAGCCCCCTTTTTCCATGGACAACTTGACTTCATTGTATTTACATGTTTTTCTTTTTTAAAACGTGACTACATACGTTGTTGAGCACATCTTAACATGTGGGAGCGTGTCCAGTTGTAATGTTAACATTTTTTAAGTGAACGGAAAGGACGCGTCTATGAAACTTTTCCATGGAATGAGGGGAACCTTTGCTCGAAATGTCATCGCATGCCCTTGTGTAGCACAGTTGGGGTTGTGCTCATTATGAGAAAATCACAATGTGTTAATGCAATTATAAAATGTATGCAAATAATATAATAAACTCATACTTCCATGATTATGCTAACATTTTGGATTTTAGTATATCTCTTAATGATGTAAAATATATTTTTATTCGAATACAGTTGTAGTCTGGAAAGTATCGTGTCACACAAGATGAGTAACTTAATGATTAACATTCGTGAAAAGTATTTTCACCGTATGAGGCAATTAAATTGATGTCTGCATAACCACGTAGCTATAAAGTGCTCAGAAGTCTATTTACAAAGTATTGAACTCGTTTTTTTTTTACTGTTGTACGTTAATTACCGCAAGCCATGAAACATTTTATCGGTGCCGAAGAAATATGACTAAACAAGGATCTCGCAACACTATTAAACCGCCTCTGCGGAGAGGGTTAACCGCGTAATGCAAGCGGCACGAATACGTGCGAAACATGCAATGCCCTCCAGTGGAGGCACGGGGTGATCAAACGTGAAAACACAAAAAAACCCAATTATGTATAAGTGTAATTGCAGTAAAGTTCCACAAGCAAACCGGTATTGTAGCGCAAACGGCAATTTGAGTGGACTTTTAAGAACCTTGCTCCCATTTCATGAGACGGGAATTGCATTTAACACTTTGGGTGGTGGATGAACCTGCTTTTCGGAAGCAAAAAAAATCAAACAAATGGTTGTGGACATATCTTGACTTATTTCCCTTTCTAACCACACGTCTCCATTTCTGTCAGTGGAGGGAGGGGATCGATCCACAACATGTGTGGAGTTGGACATCAATTTAGTTGTTTACTCGCGCAGCAGTAGGACGAGGAGGATTGCCTGCTCAGAAATGGATTAACAAAAAAACTATTTCGCGTATTTAAACAAAAAAATACAAACTGCCATTTGGCACGAGTTTTTAAAAGAGGTTGTTGTCCAGAAGACATCGTTTTTTTTACATTGGTAAATGTCTGGAACCATCATCTAAAACACTTCATATAATAAAGTTGCATTTTCCTCACATTTGTTGAATCGTACATTTATTAGCTTGACATTTGTGCAGTACTGTTGACTGTTGGTGCCATTTCCTTACTGAGGTAAAAGCTACCAGCAGTAAAGCTAACAGTGGATTAGAGTTTATGCGCATCATAAGTTCAACATATCTGAACAATGTGAGAGCAAGGGTTACGTGGAGGTAGAACTTATTTAAGCGCACTGTTTGTGACATGCTGGAAAGAGTCGTTATTCACATCGCCATAAACATATCCATTAAGTGTCTATGGTGCGGTGCGCGAGTTGGAAAGATTGTGGGGCGTAGTTTGCTCTATGTCGTACAAATTCAGCAACGTCCAAGTAATTTTCTAATTTCAATCGTTATTCCCACACAATGGCCTACTCTTTTAGATTGACGTAGCAATGACCAGGGAGGACTGCCGGAGTCGAACCGCAAACCTCTGCAAACAAGTGGCAAGCGATGATACCACTGGGCCATATCACCGCCCCATTGTGCCAAGGCAAAACGTTCTTATGGACGGTATCTTGAAGAAAAAACCTTGTTCCATTTATAGTTGGATTCAAGCGCCCTGTTCTGCAGATGGTAGCGATACCAAGGTGGAACTACCATAAGGGCTGGATATAATCGGGTCTCAATCTGCCACATGTACGCATTTGTGTATGTGAGAAACCAGTGATTTTTGGTAATTGATGATGGAAACGATACTCGTTTGTCCAATTTGAACTTTTTATTTTATCAAGTAAGGCCCACAGTTCTATAAATACTTTTCAGAAGCGACCTGGCCACAAATGATAGCTCAATGAAGTGGCATATCACGTGGAAATGTATAGCAGCCAAATGCTCTAAACGCACGTTTCTAAATGTGGAGGGAAAAACTTGAGGACCCGGAGAAAAATCCACACGCACGCTTCAAATATGCAGCAGGCGTCGAGGGTCGGGATCGAACCCACGACTTGCATACCAGGCGAGGGAGATAACATCTCAACATCGCGGTGCCCCGGAGATGAAGTGTTATGCCACTATTGAGCCAAACTTAATATAATTCATCTTGCTGTGTACAGTAACGGAAGATGTGACAAGAGAACATCTGACCCTCTTGGCTCCTGGCAATAGAATACCCAACACTGAAATTCCACAAGGGGTCGCACTTTCTCTAGTAATGAGTGCAGGGATTCCGCCTCGTGCCCGTGGTAAAAAATCTTGCGTGAGTTCAAACCCAGGTCCGATGGTCGTCGAGTCAACTTCTCGACACTATTGGGTGGCTAAATGACTTCCTCTTTGGAGTGACTGGCCCTCGCCCTTGTGAAGGTGGACTTTCCATCACTCGCTCATGGCTCTTAAGCGAAGGTGGTGCAACATGCGGGGAATCGCCACCTGACTCGCACAACTGCAACAATCTGTGCCTGGGGACAGAGCGACACAGTTGTGACGGTAAACGGGAGTCGCATCGAATCACGCGGGTCAACTGCATCGCATGAAAACAATTCAAACGAAAGTTTCCGTGACGAGAACAATGCAGATGGTTCAAGGCGTTAAACCAGACGAGGATCTGGCCACGGAGTTATTGTTGCGTGGTGTTTAATACAGACAAGCCATCATTCATCATGTTCTAACCACTGCTGGATTAATTACCGTTCATTGCCACGTCCCGCTCCTGTTCATCCTCTCCCACGTGGATCTCAATATGAATTCCACAATGTCCCAGGTGCACGCGTTCTACCGCTGTGCTTCCGTTATTCGACGCACAAAAAGGGGAAGCGCAGATTTGCTTCACGCGTGGCTAACGGCCCAGCCACGAGTCGTGGTTGATTGTGAAAATATTTCAACCTGTTAAATCCCTTGAGATGGAACATCCTAGCTTGCAACGGTGTCCAATGGCGTGATCACTAATTGCGTTTACGGTCAGCGTAATAGGCTCATCACTTGATTAACAACATAAAATATGCGTACATATCCGTGCATCTCCAAAAAAAAAACATCAAATATGTGTATCTTACACAACCAATCAGACCCACGGCCTTGTGGGAGTGCATAATTTAAGCAGCAATGTTTCAAGACCAGCAAACTGTGGACTGGTTTCGACACACAGGGTCTCATCAGGCTTTGTTTTACTTGTCCTAGTGTTGACAATGCATGTTACATATCGCCACTAGATTATCTCTATGCCGTATCTTAAAACAGCTTTACTTTAGTGCATGGTGAGTGTTCTGCTTGAAGTGTATAGGTTCGTTTAACAAGAAAATAGCCTTTCCAGCGTATTCCCAATTCCCGATTTTACTCGGGTCCACCTTTGCGAGCTCTTGCTGTGCCTCATATCGTGGAATTATGCTGCAGTCATTCGGATTAAAAAAGGAGACAAATATAATGGGCTAACCGTCCAGCAGTAGATTAAGTGATCACAAATTCTTCAACAACAGTTTTGAAAGATTTAATTATAATAATAATAATGCAATTTATAACGCGCGCAAATTTTCAGACGTAACGGCCGCAACTCAGAGGCTATGGTAGACAAAATGGGCTTCATAATTGAGCCCAATGGTGATAAACCCTTGACCCATAAATTTTGGCATTTAATCTGACCTTTAGCATTCAATTACCTCGACAAAAACGAAACGAGATATTAACAAGCTTTCTCAATTGGGAGGCAGCAACTGCCTTGCTTTTACAAAATCTATTACTCTTTAAACATTTTTTGTTTTACCAGGTAAGGCCCACTGAGCTATATAGCTCTTTTCAGAAGCAACCTGGCCACCAATGATAGCTGTGGCTTATTACTTGGAAATATTATATCAGCCTAATATTCTAAACTTGCAATTTTCATTCTAAATGTGGAGGGAAAAACTGGAGGACCCAGAGAAAAATCCACGCGACCACGGGGAGACAGAGAGAGACACGCAAACTCCAAATATATACAGTAGGCGTCAGGGTCGGGATCGAATCCATGACCTCCTGTATACCAGGCGATGGAGTTAACATCGCGCCACCACGGCGCCCAAATATTGTAATGACACTTCCCAATTAAAGACTGAAGGTAACTTTTACATGAAATAGTTAATATTGATTTCATTTATGCAGGCGAATGATTATTAACAGGCTTCATTATCAGGTTAACACGTAGGATTTCGCGACCAATATCATTCATAATACAGGTTTTTTGGGTTAGATCGCATAAATATATATATATTTTGTTAAACCCGCCACCACCCAACACAGCCAATTAGTAAGAGCTGTCACGTGAACAGAACATGCTAATTCGTCACTAGTACAGCACATCGGTGTGTTGGAGAGTACGACGTTTCGCCAGTAATTACAACTAGCTTCATCAGGCGACAGCCAGATTTGCGGAGAAGTCCACCCGCATTTTACATTGAACCAATTTTAATAAATAAAACAAATCTGGAAATGTTTACATTAAAGAATACATGTATCCAGTATTATATTCGAATAAGATCTTAATCGATACATTTAAAGCTAATTAGGAGTGATGAAATTAAATATGTTCACGTGAAGTGTGTGTTAAAAGTAAAATATATCTTTTAAAAAGTGGGACTGTTTAGTGGGATTATATTTTGCCAGGGACTGGGGAGCGCGGGGGGAGTTACAGTATATGTCCGATGTAACACCAAGTCGGGCATTGTCCCAACACGTGTTGCGCGGGATCTGGGCACGAATAACTCGAGGCCCCGTGTGTAGCGCTGATCGCGCGTCTACACTCCGCTCGCCGCTTTTCACGTGCAGCCACGCGCATGGCCGCACACACGTGGATACTTATTTTCTTGTGTTCAGGTTTTGCTGCAGTAATGAAATCATGAATGAATATTTGATAAAGCCAAGGTGCTAAATGTTTAACTAAACATGCCACTCAATGGTTACTTAGTGTTTTTTTACTCGATGCATGCACAGACACGCACAGAGCCCGAATGTGAATGCATTCGTGACAAAATATCTTTGCACCAATTAGACATCTATTGTGATTAATTGTACCCGTGAATTTTACGTAATTAATTTACTCATAGCATTTAACGGCATCTCTGTTCAACGATTTCATCTAATTAACTTCATCTAAGCATTTCATTCGTTTGCCGAAGGAAAAAAATGTACCGCAGAGTTCCCATTTGTCAGCATGATGCACTCCTTGCCTACATCATTATCCATAATTGATTTTTTTTAAACAAGGTATATGCTATGAAAACAAATTAAGTCAGGACCTCAGTATAAAACTCATTTTGTAATTAATGAAAAAATGAAGGGGCTCCTAAATAATTTCTCCCCCCTCTAGTATACTTAATATTTCATTAGAGCCAAGTAAAAAGCTTCAGAGAAGACATAGTTAAGACCTCATTAAGCCCAATCAAAAAGATCTGTCTATTGATCATTTCTTTTAGAGAAGCCTGATTGCTGATTCACTTCTATGATCTTAAGCTGATGTGTTTCAACCTACAGAGATAAAATGACCCCACTTAAATTTTCATCAAAGGAGGAAAAAAACCCAGCGTGTAATAAAAACTGCTTTGGAGGAGAAAAGTTAGCCTAATTACCGCGTAGTTTGCATAACAGCCTGCAGAGACATGCAATTTTAAACATATCTTTGACAATGGTAATGTGGGTACAAATTTACAAAGCTAATATTGCCAAATGGAAATTATTAAGGCCAGAAAACATACACTACATCTCTACATTAACGGTCTCTTGTGAAAGTTTGAAAGAACAATTTTTTTAATGCACGCTTTGCTGTATACAGCGTTTCGTATTTGCCAGACCGAAGAGGCCCTGTTTTTCCAATGACTTGAATTGCAAGCACCAGGCAGATGCACGGTACTACAACATCCCACCGACAGTTGTATGAGAATCACAACAGCCTACCTTTGTACAACGTAGCACACGTGTGTAATTCCATACACTACCTTGAACACGTTCGTCCATACACACCCCACTGCCACTCTGCGGGAAGTCCACAATGGATGTCCTCTGCAGACAGATATTGTGGCCCCTGCCACGGGAATAGC